CCTGGGAGCAGGCCAACTCCAAGCAGAGATTGACCTCATGGGCTGGAGGGACTCTATTCTTATAGGGCGGATCCTTCCTGGCTAGTTTTGGTGGGCTTTTACTGAGCATGCACAAGTAGTTGTATTACTTTAAAGCTACTGTGCATGTGGTCTCCCATGACTTTCCCTGATTGACCACCAGGGAAGAGGGTCCCACAATGCTACCAAATTGACCCCCATTTCTCCTGGGGTCCCTCTGTACTAGGTTCACCTTTCCCTTCACTAGAGAATTATAGCACTCCATGTTAGAGATTGGTGAAAAGGAAAGGAGCTACTTATTCAAGTTATACAGATTTAAGAGGAATGACTTAATGTCTTCACCAAAATCCCAAAGTCCATTAAAACACCCACAAACACACACAGTCCTTCCTTCCCCCCTTTGCCCAGTTTGGGGTACTGTATCTCAGGGAAAGAAATAGAAGTCCATGGCTCAGGCAGGTCGAGGTTCTTCCCAGTAATCCGTGCTCGGTTGGTAGGCCTCCCTTGGTTCCCAGCACCATCAGCTGTGTTGCTGGGATCTCCAGCTAAAGCCACGTGGTGGTTCTTTGCTAAAGCTGCATGGTGATTCTTCTCATGGCTGTGGGGGCGGGCGGGGGTGGTGGCTGTCCCCCTACTCTGGCCAAAGCTACGTGGTTCTCCTCACTGCCACAGCGGCATATTCCCTTCCTTACATGGCTGCAGCCACGTGGCTCCCTCCTCAATGGCTGCCGAGTCTGGGTTTAAATATCCTTCCATCTTTACTGGGCTGCCATCATGAGTCTGCGCAGGGGTGGCCCCATGTCATGGAGCCAGTCATCTCCAAGTTCTCATGCAGGCACTGTAACCAGGGGGAGTTGCCTCGCAGTTACATCTTGGGGGGAAGTCCCTTCCATCCCCCTGGCTCAGAGCCTGGCCACAGCTATTTAACATAGCTATGCAACCAGTTAAAGGTTATAGATATGTTAAATGACCACCCCACAGGTTAGCTGCCAAGGTTAGTTGCTATGCAAAACAGCTCTGAATGGCCCTGCTCCATGTGTCCCTTCCCCCAACTCACACCTGTGTTGGAGGGTGAGGACATCCTATATCTCTTTCTAATATTTCCTGGACACCTTGAATTCTGGACCCCATTACAAATCCTTCTTTCGGGGGCCCCCTGGATGCACCCTTGTACACTACCAGTTGAACTATATAGCACACCATCAATTGTAAGATGAGCCCTGATAAAATGTGAAGAATGTGCATTTTAGATCAGTGAAATAGGGTTTACACTTTCTTGACCATTTGATAAATATTTGTTGCACCCACAGATATGCAGCCACAGTCCATGCCTTTTTTTATTCATCATCATACCATGGCCAGTTCTAATAAATTCTTAATAAATCCTTGGATGAATGAATGAACAAATAAGTGAGTGTGCAGATCTGACAGTGAAGTTTGCCTTACACTCCAAGCACCTAAATGATAAATAAGAAAATGCATTTTAAATCATCATTAACTGCTAAGTGCTGGAAAGTAACAATTTATTTTGAAGTGGTATCTGTCAGCTTGAAGAGAAGTTCTGAAAATGATGAAATTATCACAAAAAAAAGAACCACCCACCTCCACTAGAAACAGGTGAAGCTTGATTTGTAAAGCCTAAGTGAGTAATTTGAGGTGTTTAATATAACAAGTAAATTGGGTGGGGAGAGCAAGCTGTTTTCACCTCCTACTCTTCTCTGTTTCTAAAAGACAGTCAAATTCAGATCTAGGAGAAAAGCAGTTCTGTACTTTTATAAAAACCTATGAGGGAGATGCCATTTTGCCCATGCACCACTCGTTTCTTCTGTCAAAAAGAGAAGAAAGCAATATCTTCATCTAGGCTCATGCAGGGCTCATTATAGTGTGGTAATTATTAAATTGAATTTTTATATAGAAAGATGCTCAAAAAAGAATTCTATCTATTCTCCAAGGGAAGTCGCATACCTGACTCCTAGTGTTATTTGGTAGTCTATTCTCTCTTCTGTCTTCTGACACCTGCCTCTACCACACTCCTCATTCCTTGGATTCACCAACAGCACCAAATCATCACCAGGTTCTGATCCAAACTGGTCCACAAAACTGACTGAACCAGACCAAAATTGTCAAAATAGAAGTAACAAGGAGCCAACATGCCTATTAGACTGGGATATTGGTTCTATTTATATTTGTGTGGGAGGCCACTGTGCCTGGCCCTGCTCCCACGGGGTGATGCACAGGCCCCAGGCCCACGGATAGGTTTTCCCATGGGGAATCAGGCCTGCAATGTGCCTAGGCCACTATGAGTCTTGCGTTTTGCTAAAACTCCCTCATCCTGAATTGAGGACATTTAATGCAAAGCAACTTCCTAAAAACCATGCTAAACCTTCCAAGGATGAGTGTAACTGCTCCAACTACTTTTGCCTTTTCATTTGCAAATATCCGTCTTCTGTGATGTGATTACCAGTGTCCTCTCCTTTGTTTTCTGTATAAGGTAACCACCTAAATTGAGCCTGTCCATAATTAACGAGGACCTTTTTGTCATGTGCCCAGTAAAACAATAAAAGCTCATTAGAGTGAGGGCTAAGGTTTTTGGTCCCCTTGAGAGAAAAGCCATGCTGTCCATTTTCCTTCCCAGGACTCAGTAGTCCGTGTGAATTTGTCTCATATTTCATCCACAATGACAAAGACCCCATGAGCCAGGGGCCACATCCATTTGTACAGAATGTCTCCTAATTAACTCAGGGAAGAATTGTGAGCCTTCTGGGTGAGTTACTGTGGAACTCAGTGTACAATGAGTTAATAGTATTAGATCCTAGGCAGCTGCTGACAGTGTTAAGAAAAATTCATATGTATTCACCTGGAAAGATATTTGTGGCATAGCCTTAATTTTTTTTTTAAGTTGTAGGCCAATATGTAATGTATTTTTATTAGTATAAAAAATCTTTGGGCTATAGGTATGTATGTTAGACAACTTTATGGAAGATAATGGTTGGAAGAAGTCATAGTGTTTGTCCTAAAGATTTTGTCTAGTGAGGGAGATGAGACTTGTATGTAAATAAAATTATGATACCAAGGTAGATAGTAACTGGCATTTTAAGAGACAATCGGATAAGGTACCAGGAGAATCCAGAAAAGAAATTAGATTAATTCTGACTGAGAAAATCAAGGAATGTTCATGGAGGAGACAGTAATTTAACTAGGCCTTAAAGGTATGTGTGAAGGTGTACTGAGTAGGTGCAGTCAGAACCAACTTAAAAATTTTTTTCCCTCTATTTCAGTGTAGTTGAGTTTCACATCCAACAATAATGAGCTCATAGAAATGCATGTACACTATGTATATGTGTGTACTAGATATGTCTCCATATATATGGAGAGATGCATGTTTAGTACACATAAGAATTTAATGATAAATGTACATTTTATTTTTAAAATTTATTGATGTGTGAGTGAGAGAGAGAGAAGGACAAACATTGATTTGTTGTTCCACCCACTTATGCATTCATTGGTTGTTTCCCATATGTGCCCAGACAGGAGATTGAATCTCCTACCCTGGCACATCGGGACTTTAAGTCACCCCAGGCGCATCTCTAACCAACTGAGCTGCCCAGTCAGGGCAATAAACATGCATTTTAATAATATACAGAATCTCAGAGGGACTGCAAATTCCATCATAGGATGCTTAGTAGCAGCCCTGGCCTCTATCCACTAACATCCCCCAAGGTGTGAAAACCAAAAATGTCTCTGGACATTGCCAAGTGTCTTCTGGAGGACAGAAAAATCCTTAGTTAAGAACGACTGGTTCTCAGCCCTGGCTGGCGTAGCTCAGTGGATTGAGCGCGGGCTGGGAACCAAAGCATCGCAGGTTCAATTTCCTGGCAAGGTATACGCCTGGGTTGCAGGCCATAACCCCCAGCAACTGCACATTGATGTTTCTCTCTCTCTCTCTCTCCCTCCCTTCTCTCTCTAAAAATAAATAAATAAAATCTTAAAAACATTTTTTAAAAAGTATACACTTAAAAAAAAAAAGAACAACTAGTTCTCAATTCCTATCCACCAAGAATTTTAAAATTCATGATTTAGATTTTGTTTTTTAGGTCCCTTTTTCAAGGGTTTATAACCGTACTGGGTCAAGAAAGTTTTGAAGATCTGTTGAAAACTTTTAACTCATTCATTCCTCAGAAAAATGCTCATGTTTGCATCATGTCAAATACAATTTCAAGGATGTACACTTGGGTTCTACTGAGAGTCCTGTTTCTGGGAGCTTGCAGAATTGTTATGGTCTGTACTTTCCAGCTGGGTGGATAACTGAATGCTGATGTCCATAAGGTCCATATTTTAGAACCTCGTCTGTGTTTACTTCAGAACACTGCTGATGAGGAAAGAGTCATCCTGTTCACCAAACTTGCCCTCCCTTCATCTTAACCTGCATTTGCCAGTTTTAACAAGATTCTTCCCAGAAGAAAACAAAACACAGATGAAGAAGAGATCCAGCTTCCCCTCATTCCCTTCTAGTCTAGACCCCTGTCTAGTCCAGCTTATTCCCTCTGATTGTCCAAATGAATGAGAAGAAAGAAAGAAAGAAAGAACCAAGAGTCAGGCTGATAAGAAAGGGGGCCACCTGGACACTTGAATTTGATTGTGAAAATAATGCACACATACACAGAAGTGCAAACTATATCTAAAATTTATGAATAAATTATGAACTCTCTATAGCCACCATTCATTGGGTACTCCTAAAGAAAAGAAATCCAAGGGCTTATTAAATACAAAACTGGCCACCGCTCCTTTCCTCTTTCCACCTGGCGTGAGAGCTGTGTGCCAGCCCGCGGAGCTTCCTGGTTGACACAGGCGAGGCTCCGCGCTCCCAGCAATCGCTAGCCTCCTCTACGTGGGACTCCGCATTTCTGTAACAAGTACCCCAGGGTCGTCGCGCTTCTGATTTCGTAGCCTCTGTTAGTAACTGAGAGGGAGGTGAGTGAGGATCTGGGTGGCCCCGTGAGGGACATCCAGTAAGATTCTCAGCGTTGTCTGTCCGGGAAAGAGAAGGAATGAGGGAAGGGTAGGATTTCTTTCCCGGTAAGATAGACGTGGGGGAAAAACCGCTGCCCGTGTGTCCCTCATTTCGACTTAGGTGTCTCTATTGCTCCATAAATAAAACGTGTCCCTGCCTTCTGCGAGTGCTATAAAGGCCACGAAACGGCAATGCCCGGGGCACACGGGCGGGGCAGGAGCAGAGGCACAGCAGGTGAGATCCGTGCAGAAGGTGTAGCCCACGCCACCCAGCGGGGCTTGACTCCTACAGAGATGTGGCTGGTTGGGGGGTGGGACTAGTGTGGGGGCCTGGAGCGGACGGGCAGGGGGCTGGACAGCCTTCTTTCTGAGAAGCTGAGAGTGAGAAGGAAGCTAGGAAAACAGACCTGGGGAAGAGATCTGCCCCACACCCCCAAAGTTCTGCCCCCAGGAGAGCGGCGGCCCGCGCCCGGAATCTGACTGCAGTGCGCACAGCCTCCGGACCCGGGAGATTGGCCAGAGGGTCCCACGACGGGCCTGGGGTTGTACTTTTCTCCAGTATGCGCCTGGAGCTGCGCCCTTAGCCCGGTGCAGGGAGGGAGAAACGCCGTCGAGGTCCCCTTCCAGCCCTTCCCTTGCCCCGGGTCCCAGCCCGGGTCTGGGGAGATTTCAGAACGCGGACAGCGCCCTGACCGCTCGCGGGAGAGAACTGACTGGGTCGCGCTCCCGAAGCCCCCAACGCGGGGCTCACTCTCTTCAGAGTTTGGGAACCACGGGAAGCAGGTGCAGACTGCGGGACCGGAAGTCTTCAGGTGCCCCCTTCAGCTGGTGGTGCGCGCCGCGGAGCGGTGGGCTGCGAGTGCCCAGGGTGGCTGCAAGCGGTCCAGGCTCTCCAGCATCCGCTGCAACAGGTGGGGCCGGGAGGCGGCTAACCCGCCGTCACCTCTCCCTTCGCCTTCCTCTTCACTGTTTCTTCTCCTTCCTCGCTCCGTCATCTCCCTCCTTGTCCTCCTGCTCGAAGGTCATGGAAGCTCCGGGCAGCAGATCGGGGCCGCCGCCGAACCCCGAGTACAGTGGCAGCTACGTGGTGTCGAGGCCGGTCTACAGCGAGCTCGCCTTCCAGCAGCAGTGCGAGCGGCGCCTGCAGGAGCGCAGGACGCTGCGGGAGCGGCTGGCGGAGAGTTGCAGGTAGCGGGGTCAGCAGTCGAGGTGGGGACGCCTGCGCTTCTCCTGACAGGACGCGCTCCGGCTGCGCGGTCCTTCCCGGTGGGAGGAAGGCTGCACCGTTCTCCGCTAGAGGTTGACTCTAGTCTCAGAAACTTATCTTTGGGGAGAGTGTGTTCCGGGAGTCCGGTCTCTCCTTCTCCCCTTTTGTGGACATACGGAGTTCTCCTTGGGGGTACTTTACCAAGTACCTTCCGGTGAAGGCTTTGAGGAGAGTGGGGAAGAAAGGGGCTCCATTGAAAAGAGATGATGGGTAAACCCATCACCTGACCAGCAGGAGTCTTTGAAAGCCGAAGCTCATCTAGGCAGGATGCCACTCAGTCAGACACTGAATGACAGCCAGAACTCAGGAGAGCGCGCTGAGCTCCAAGTCCTTCACAACAGGCAGTGGGAGCACCGGAAACCTCCAGCAGTCTGAGCCAAAAAGGGCCACCGTAATTAGATACCACAAACAAAAAGAATTAGAGAACCGGCAACTACTGCTAGATTTTATTTCTTTTTTAAAAACTTCACTTTTTAGGACATTTCAAATACATACAAAAGTAGACATATTAGTATAATGAACTTCCTCTCCATGTTTTTACCCATCGCTCAGCTTATGATCTTGTGATTTACTGAAAGTTAATCTTGTTTCAACTTGCCCACCCACACTCTTTTTGAAGCAAATCCCACCTCTCTCTCATTTTATATACACATAAAATCTCTAGAGACTTAAAAAATATAACTACAATCCCATTATCAAGAGTCAAAGAATGTTCACTTACTGTTAATATATTTTCCTTTTATCTATTGGTTGCAGAATTTAAAAAACACTAAGTAGCAAAGTACAACAAGGTGCACATGTTAAGAGTTTTGTAAAAACTGATTTCAAGCTTGTATTGCCAAAATAGACACAGCATGTTTATTTTTATTAAAAGACAAAGAGAAGTAAAAGAAGGCACCTGGGGCTAGAAGTCTGAAAATTAATCTCCATTTAGACTTGGAGACTCTACATTGTCAATGTACAGCTAGACTAGAAAATGGGTTCTTGTATAGGGATGTTTTCTCAGAGTATGGGGGTGGGTCACTTAATCCTGTGTTTTCTAGCACACTGCATTTAAAAGGGTAGACAGAGCTCTTGGCAAAATCATGGTAAGCATTTCAGTGTTGGTATTTGCAACTCCCATTCTTTTTCTAAATAGTCATAAACATCAGCAGAGTTCAGTTCAAAACTTTTTGATTGCTTGTGGCTGAGATTAGATTGAAAGCCCACTTTTCTTGCTTTTTGACAGTTGTTCAAGGAAGAGAGCCCTTGGTGTGCTGAAGACTCTCTTGCCCATCTTGGACTGGCTCCCCAAATACCGAATCAAGGAATGGCTGCTTAGTGACATCATTTCAGGAGTTAGCACTGGACTCGTGGGTACACTGCAAGGTAAGGTTTTGGTAGGTCGGCTCCAAGTGACTGCAAATCATAGTCTCCAGAAGCAGTTCATGACTTCCCCCAGGCTTTCATTGGTCTGCACCACATGCTTGCTCACCCTTGAAGGCCTCATTTCTCCTCTAGAGCCCCTTGGTGGAGAAAGTGGCCTCTTTCCTCCTCCTCTTCCTTAGAGTTCTCTATCTGGGAAACCAAGCTGGTTCTCCAACTGCATGGCTCCAGTAGAACCCTATTACCGAGGTAGTGGCTTCCCAACTTGTACTGACCATAACTCACAGTAAGAAATATGTGTTACATTATGATCTTTATACATTTAGCTCTGGTTTTGCCAAAGAATATTTACCTTCACCACATGATATACTCTGATATTTTTGTCTTATTTTATTATGCTTATTTTTTAAATGATAATTGCATCCATTAAATTACTTTACCTCTTACACGTGGTCTTAATCTGCAGTTTTGAAACTAGCTTAAGGGAATGTGGAGAAAGTATTTTAGCCTGGTTACACATAAGTGCTTTTTCTGTTCCTCTTCCCTCTCCTTTTTAATACATTCCCTTGTTTTAATCTCTGGAAAAATGTCCCAGTGTAGGTGGTTATTACTTTTTTTAAACTGGCTTTGTATCACATTTCCATGAGCATCTTGGGAATATGTTGCCTAGCTGATGAATAATATTCTCCTCTGTCCTCCCTCCCTGTCATCTTGCTTCTGTCCTCCCCCCAACTCTACAAATCCCCGGAATCATGAAACAGAAATCTCATTTATTTATTATAATTTTATGGAACATTTGTATGTACCAGGTACTAAGTGTGCTGCCATGAATAAGATGCACCACTTGCTTTCAAGGAGCTCAGTTTAGAGGGGAAATAGATAACAATTGGATGTAAGGGCTGTGGCAGGGATATGCAATATAACCTTGCCTGCTAAGGGAGTGCACACAGCCTTAGGGGATTGGGAATGGCTTTCTGTCAGAGCTGAGTTTCCCTGAAGGTTCAGTCTGAGTTTGCCAAGTGAGGGAAGTAGGGTGGGGTGGGGATGTGTGTAAAAAGATGGTTTGGTAATAGACTACTTCAGAAGTTAGTAATAGTTGTTGCGTAATTCATGAGTCAAAATTTTCCTGTAGAGCTCTGAAGATTACTCAGAGCAGACCAGGTAGATTCCCATAGAGAAGGAGGATGTTTTGTGGTCTGAGTGTGGAGTCTCAGCCTGGTCAGCCATGTTTCCAGTCACAGAGGTGGATGGCAGCCTCCGGTGGGGCTGTTGCAGTTCCTAAGTTAAACAAAGTAAGTACCTGTGTGCACAATGTACTCTCATAGCTGTGGCATGGCAACACCCTGTGACTTCTGGGGGACAGGAAGCAACAAATCCATGTTTGTTTAGTCAGTGTCTAGCAAAGAGACTGGCACAAAATAAATAGCACTGTAAACATTTAGTGAAGAGGATTGAATTGTATTCCTGGAAATGAATCATCTTTTTTCAAGTTTGTATGTATGTATGTATGTATTTATAGAGAGAGGGAAATGGAGGGAGAAAGAGAAGGAGAGAAACATCAATGTGTGAGAGAAACATCAACTGGTTGCCTCTTGCACACCCCCAACTAGAGACCTGGCCCCCAACCCGGGCATGTGCCCTGACTGGGAATGAACTGGCGACATTTTGGTTCAAGACTGGCACTAAACCCACTGAGCCACACTAGCCAGGGCATGAGTCATCTTTATGTATGAAAAAATGGTATTTCAAGTTTGGTTTCTCCCAAGTTTTTATAGACAAGTACCTTATAAGAATTCATTTTAATTTTAGTTTTATTTATTAACTATCAGGCACTATGCTAAGGGCTTTGACCAATTATCTTATTTAGTTCTCACAACAACTATTATTAACTCCTTTTTAATAGATGATAAATCTATTTTTTTCTTTTTGTTATTTGAGAACATGTTCATTGATTTTTAGAGGGCGGGGAAGGAGGAGAGAGAGAAAAAAATGTTGATGAGAGAGACAAACATGGATCAGTTGCCTTCTGCATGTGCCCCAAATGGGGATAGAACCTGGAACTAGTTATATACCCTGATCAGAAATCAAACTGGCAACTTAGGTGTGTGGGGCAATGCTCTGACAATTGAGCCACACCAGCCAGGGCTAGATGAGAAAGCTATTAATTAAATTTTGTCTAAGATCATGTTACTGGTAGGTGGTGGAGCTGAGAGTTGAACCCAAACTTCAATTCCTAGGATCTTAACTTGTACACTGCACATTTCCTTACTTTATAATAATTTGTTTTTCAGAAACTTATCTCTATACATTTGTCTCTGTAAGATGAATTTCTGAGAGGTTAACCTGGTTCATTTATATATTCATTCATTCATCATTCATTCACTTGATAACATTTGTAGAACAATTCTGTATGCAAAGTGTTCAACCACAGGGATTCAATAATTTTTGACAGGCACTGGTACTGACCCCACAGAGCTCATTTCCAGTGGTAGGCAGGAGAAATAAAGAAATCAATAGGTAGATAAATATTTCAGAGGTGGTGGATTAAATGTGCAACAATAAGGATTAATTTGGGAGAGAGTATATTTTAGATAGAGTGGCCAAGGAAGGCTTTACTGGGGGTGTGTGAAATTTAATCAGAGACTAGAGGATGAAAAGGAGCAGCTATGTATTGATCAGAAAGGAGTGTATCAGGCAAAGGTGCAAATGCCTTCAGGCCAAAGGAGTATAGTATTTTCAAGGGAGGGAAGAAAAGAATTCTGGTGCAGGTTGAGTGCAATGAGGGGAAGATGGGTAAACAGGATATGTTAAGGTTAGGTAGGACAGGAATCAGAATGAGGCAAGTGAGGCACTTGTTCTCAGTGGTCCTCCTTAAATATTGCACCCTAGGTACTTCATCCTCATCTCAGCCCTGAGGATAGGTGTGTCAGCTTTAACCAGTTCAAGTAGGAGGTGGAGAGAACTGCACAGATCTGATATATGTTTTGGGAAAAGAATCACTGAGATACACTGATGGATTACATGTAGATGAAAATCACAGATGCCCCCAAGGTTGTTGGCTTCAGCAACTGGGTAGATGGTTCTATCATCTATTAAAATAGCAAAGACTGGCTGAGACTTGGGACAGAAAAATCAAGTTTTCTTTTGCTTAGTCTGAAGTGCATGTGAAACAACCAAGCAGAGACGCCAGATATAGAATGGAAAGTACTACAAGTGTGAAGGGTAGAGGAGAGGGCTGGGTTAGACATAAAAACCAGGAAGGCATCACTCTAGAAGTGATATTTTAAAAAGTGGGAGTGCCTGAGGCTACTTAGGGAGAAAGGCAGATGAGAAGAAAAGACAGCTGGAGTACTCAGAGGTCAGGGAGATGAAGAGGAGGCCACAAAGATACATGAGGAGGTAGAGCACTGGACCTTGAAGCAAAGGGTCACTAGTTCAATTCCCAATCGGGGCACATGCCTGGGTTACAGTCCAGGTCCCCAGTAGGGCACTCATGAGAGGCAACCACACATTGATCTTTCTCTGCTCTTTCTCCCTCCCTATCCCTCTCTCTAAAAATAAAGAAATAAAATATTAAAAAAAAGAAACAGGAGGTTTGGCTCAGGAAGTTAGAGAAAAAGAACAATTGGAGGAATGTGGGATCAGAAGCCAAGAGAAGAGGTTTATTTAAAAAAGGATAGAGGAGACACTAGCTTCAAATACTCTTGAAGGGAGAGTGTGATGATGGAATACAGACATTTGCAAGAAGGTTTTCTATGAAGCAGAAGAGAGACATGCTGCAAGTGGAGGGAGATGAGAGATGAAGGTAGAGTGAAAGGAAGTTTTATTTTCCTTTTCCAATTACAGTTTATGTTCAATATTATTCTGTATTAGTTTCAGGTGTACAACATAGTGGTGAGACACTCAGATTTTGTAATGTAATCCTCTTGATATTTCAAGTACACATCTGGCCACCATACATAGTTATTATAATATTATTGATTTATTTTTTCTTTTAATATAGGAGATATTAGAACACATTTGTTACTTAGTGGGAATGACCTAGCAGAAAGAAAGAGATCTGTGGTCCAAGAGGTAGAGGAGAAACAACTAAAAATGACGAGAAGATCCCTGGCTGGCGTAGCTCAGTGGATTGAGTGCGGGCTGCGAACCAAAGTGTCGCAGGTTCGATTCCCAGTCAGGCCACATACCTGGGTTGCAGGCCACAGCCTCCAGCAACTGCACATTGATGTTTCTCTCTCTTTCTCCCTCCCTTCCCTCTCTAAAAATAAATAAATAAAATCTTTTAAAAAATCTCAAATGTTTAAAAAAAATGATGGGAAGAGGCAAGCGTGGATGGGTTTAAGGACAGAAGTGAGAGGGTTGCTCCTTTAAGACACAGGGGGACAGCTCCACCATTTCAAAGGAAGAAAGGACAGACAACACAGTGCAGATGCAGAGACGTTTGACATTTTGGTAAAAAGCAGATTAGGGGCATCTCACAGATTCTATGTTTTGGATGAAGTCCAAGATTCATCTCTGAACTCCATCTCTGTGGAGAAGAGGGATGGGCAGCTTGAGGGAAGTAGAAAGGAGAAAAGCACACTTCTGGAAGAAATGGAATGGGATTGCCAGGCAGGATTAAGTGTTCACCTGGGGCTTCTGATCATTATATGAAACTGGTCAGCCCAAATGTAGATGTTTTTAGTCTAGTTTATCCAGCTGCTCAAATGCTTGTCATGAAAAAGTAGGTGTTTAATGTTAGCCAGATTGGGGTTTTGCCAGACAAGAAAAGGGAAGGAGAGAGAGAGTGAAGTAAGGGATTTCAGAATATTCATGAAATTCCATGGACAAGGAGACAGTGAAGACACGAGGACACCAAGGATAGGGAGAAGGTGATCAGTTAACTGTTTAGAAGCCTCATGAAAACAAAGAAATGTTGCAATAGGATGCTGCAGCAGGTGAGTAGGAAACTGTAGTTAAAGAGGAGGCTCAAAATTGAGATATCTGAGAGGGTGTTGCTGCTTTTAGTGATGGCAGGTCCACAACAGAACCAGATGGCTGGGCAGCTGAGGAGTGGGGAAAAGCTCATTAGAGCACTCAGGCTGAAGTTACTGAGAAGCTACTTATTGCTAAGGATAATGGGATCTTTTTGACTTGTGTTATTTAAAAAAATTTCCACCAACAAGCAAAAGATCAGTGCAGCCTTTTCAGTGCTACCTTTCCTTACAGCTATGGGGAACTAGCTCTCTTCTTTCTATTTTTGTCTTCTAGATGCTTCCAAATGTTTGCTAGCACTCCCTGTGTCAGTCTAGGGGACTCTCCTACACAGGAAGTATATCAACAACAGAAAAGCCACAGTTTATATCAATGGCTTAGATTTCCTTACAAATTGTATACTTTCAAAATTGTTGTACCAAATCCTGTTATAATAAAGATGATTACCATATATTTAAGTAGCAGTTGTCCCTAAGTAGGACACTATATGAAAACTAAAAAAGTCCCCATTTTCCAGGACTGTAAGAACAGCAGAGCTGAGTATAGGGAAGTGGAAATTTAAGGACTTGAAAGAAAGGCATAGAAAATAGGTTGTGTTCATTCCTTGCTCATTCTTTTCTTGTCTTTCCTTTGTGGAGTTACCTTTCTTGTCCATGGTCTTGGGGTGAATGGTTATTGCAATTCTTGTTTTAATTTATATATTAAAACAATTGCATCAGTAATACAGATTTTTTCTAAATCGTAAACTCTGTAAGGGCAGAGACCTTTTTAGTCTATTCCTGTATTCCTCAAACCTAGAACAGTGTCTGGCATGCGGTAGGTACATAATCAATAGTTGGTGAGTGAATGCTCATTGTAGGAAATTAGAAAATACATGAAAAAATATCCCATTAATATTTTTAAATTATCTATCTATCTATCTATCTATCTATCTATCTATCTATCTATCTATCTATTTGAGAGAGAGAGAGAAACATCAACACATATAAATGCATATCTATGTGAAAGCATAAAAATGTCTAAGAGTGATAAGCACTAAATTCAGCATTGTGGTTGTCCTCTAGGAGTGGAGAGAGGAAAGAGGATGCAGTTGAGGAAGAGCATGCAGAAAGTTTCAGCTGCACTGGCAAAAATCACTCATTTCTTAAGCTGGATGGTGGATACATGGGTGTTTATTATGTTATAGTCTTTTTGCATATGTGAATTACTTTTTAATATGTTGAAAATCTTCCAAGATCATTTTCATGCATACAATGTACTTTACTTTTACAAACATGGGAGCATGCATACTTACTATTTTTAATTGTTTTTTCTCACTTTTTTGTATTTTACGTATCTCCATGTAAATGTATTTCCATACATCACATCAATTTCATTTCATTGAATAACAGTATATAAAATATAATTTAGTTTAGTTAGCCACTTTCAGATTTTGAGGCATTCATTCAAAAAATAATTTTGGGTGTCAGTGGGCTAAGAATTTTAGGTTGTTGCCACACTTTTTCATTTTTACTGTTAGAAATGTATTTATTAATGACCCAAGAGTGAAAAGGCTTGACTTTTTCCCACTTAAGTAAATGATATATGAGAAGGTAACATGGAATAAGATGTACTGACTATGTAAGAAGTATCTAACCAAGGAAAAGAACATGTCATATCCTCCAGCTCCTATGTACATAGGAAGGCTGAGATTTCTTCATATTGGATGACATTTGTGCTGGGGTTGGCTTAGTGGAGAGGCCAGTCACCTGTGGAGAGCCCAAGGGAGTTGCCTTGCCTGTCACTAAATACAATTGTCATTTTTTCCTTATTTGAATCTAATCTCTGTTTCCCAAGAAGAAAGGAGAAAGAGCAGAGCAACAATGAATTCCCAAAGTGTCCCTCAGAACATAGAGAAACAATGAATTCATATGAAACTGCCTATATGCAAAGTGGTATAAGCTTCTGGACTGAACCGACGAAGTTTTTTAATCAACCACTGACTTGAGTTCTTTTTTCCACTCATGTGACCAGTGAATAATTGAATTACTGAGCAGTTGAGCTAGTTCATTAGAGCTGTTGATTCATGTGGTGCACTCATTTCCCTAGAATGGCCACAGACTGTATGCATAACCAGGGGAAGCTTAGGACAAGCTGCAAACTGAGGATCTCTTTGAAAAGGCCTTCTTTGTTACAGGAGATATATACTGTAATGTTTGTTTGTGAATTCCACAATTTTGGATGTACTTTCAGGCATGGCGTATGCTTTACTAGCGGCGGTTCCTGTTGGATATGGTCTCTACTCTGCTTTTTTTCCTATCCTGACATACTTTATCTTTGGAACATCAAGACACATCTCAGTTGGTAATTATAAGCAAATACTACAATTGCAGTGTTCACGTTTAATGTAATTTTGGCCATATTATGTGTATTGTGCTTCCATATCTTTGTTAATGATTTCCAGGGAAATAGAGCTTCAGTGCTTTGCCTCATTTTTCTATTCAGTAGTGCAAGTGGCTCTTCTCACCTTTCAAAATACTGTGCCTTCAGTTTGCTTTATACTTGACACTTTACAGGAAGAGGAGAAGTTGAAAAATTATTAAAATTGTAGACTACTTTCAAATTTTAGCATGGTTTTATTTTTAAAAATATAATAAATTTGACTCCATATTTAGAGACTGTTCTCTTCTGAAACAAAATATGACAGGGAAAAAATCTTTGAGGGATCTTTGAAACTACTGTTTTACCAGATTAACTTAGCATTTACTAAATTATATTCATCAAATACATATTCATTATTTCATTAAAGAGCATACTTATTTTAAGTCACTAAGATTGGAAGACTGGCAAAATCATGCCAAAACAATTTAGAAACTAAGCTTGGCTTTCCTTCTTAGTATGGCTCAAAATAGATTTATTTCCTGTAATTCCTAAAATTTAAATTCTCTTTTGCTCGGATGTTCAAGTAAATAAATGTTTTAATGCTACTTTGCAACTTTGATAATTTTGTGCCTATATCCATCTGCTGACTAGACATGTCTACTTGGACAAACTTCTTGAAACAAACACAACTGTCCACTATATTCCCAATCCATATCCTTGTCCTTAATTGTATTTCCCCCAATATCTGGCATATTGCTTTGTCTGTGGAAGGAAGTCAGGAAGAGGTTTGTGATTGAAAGAACTTCCTCACCTGGGAGAACTGATCAGCATCAAATGCTTGGTGAGGTAAGGAACACAGAAGCTAATTTTTTCCTCTTTGGTGTTCTATCCATTTAGACATTCAAGTTAGTGGATTTGGGGACAGCCTTGCAATCATTAAAACATCCATGATTGAAGGATAGGATCATCATCATCATGGGTAAACATACCAGTAGTGACTGGAGCAGTTGCTGGAAGAAAAGGAGCACTTTCAAAACATAGAATCTTACAAACTGGCATTTGATATGAAAAAATTAAGTTGTCCTGGAAAGAGAAAAAGGGAATCTATACACTCCTTTTCCTGTTTCTTTACCCAAATTTGAACCCTGGGTATTGATCAAGGTACTCATCCCCACAGAGTAGGACAGTGGATGCTCTAGGAAATGGGCTTCTGTAGCATTCAAATGAGACAGAACAAGTAAGGACTCGGCTTGTGTGCCATCTCTGCTGGACAACTTCTCCTGACAACCCTCCCCATTCCCTTCGCGTGAACATCACACAAAGCTAGACACCCTTTCCATATACTTAGAAAGCATCCTGGATGCTGTATTGCGATAGCCTTCCTACAAGTCTCGCTTGCTCATTTCTAAGTCCTGAATGCCTTTTTAGCTTCTTATATGAATAAGCAATATTTTCCCAATCACTGCTAATTTACCTCTTTCTAATCATATGTAGACATGGCATGTTGAATCTAAATACTTGTGATTAATAAATATTAATTGATTGAGACTTTTTCCCCCAGGACCTTTCCCGGTGGTCAGTTTAATGGTGGGATCTGTTGTTCTGAGCCTGGCCCCAGACGAAAACTTTTTCATACCCAGCAGTAACGGGACTGCATCAAATGCTACCATGATAGACAATGTAGCTAGAGATGCAGCAAGAGTATTGATTGCAAGCACCCTTACTCTTTTGGTTGGGATCATACAGGTAATGTACTTATAAGTAAAATATAGATTGGTGTGATTTTTATTTGAAGTAACTAACTGTTGCTGACTCAAAAATAAAAGACTCTAATAAAAGTGGGAGACAATAATGATTTTCTGAGATCAATAAGAATAGCTGTTCCGGAAGCATTGATTCAGGTGGAAGCCCATATAATGTAGGCCTTAGGAGGCCAAGCACTGGGAATTGATGAGAAAGGGGAGGGGAACAATTACATCAATAGAAGGAAGGCATTTCTAGTCATGCAGATAACATGATATAGTGATGTCAATTCTAAACTGTGTTTTTAATTTTCAGTACAGTAGTTAACAGTTCAGTAGTCAGAATAACCTATTTCTTGCTATCTTTGTAAAAGTTCACAGAAATAAGCCACATTATTTTTTACTTTTTTAATACATATCTAGAAATATTTCAAGGTTTGTATTACCCATAGTTTTCAAGTTTTAGAGTGATGGAGGGGAGAGATAGAGCATTAAGAAATTCAGATTTATTTCCTACAAGTATTTTTGTGTTATAGGCCAGCTACCAGAGTTTAAATTGTTGTTAACTTGAATTTGTTAATAGTTCAAGGGAGTGGTTTCTTTTCCCAGGCAAACATCTAATTTTTCCTTCCTTTTCTTGTTCTAGTTGGTGTTTGGGTGTTTGCAGATTGGATTCATAGTGAGGTACTTGGCTGATCCTTTGGTTGGTGGATTCACAACAGCTGCTGCCTTCCAAGTGTTGGTTTCACAGCTAAAGATCATCCTCAACGTTTCAACCAAAAACTATAATGGCGTTCTCTCCATTATCTATGTAAGTGTTTCTTCTTACTCTAGGATGTTTCACTAAGAACAATGTGCTCTTTTCTTCTTTAACCTGAGTCTGTAGAACCTATATTCCTTCGTGCCATACTTTGGACCCATTGAAAGCATCCTTTTCTAAAAGAAGCAATAGAATCAGGAGTAACATCAGAGATGGTCACCAGGACTGATCTGGGATGCAAGAGGCTAGAGCTCTAGTCTCAGTTTTGCCTCTGACAAGCTAAGTGGCCTCTGGCACATAGATAGTGGCTGAAAAAAGCTCACGTTTGGAGCTGGATGACCTGGATTTGAAATGGAGTTGGTAAAAGTATCTACCAACTAAGTCAAATAAAGATGGATGAGAAGCACTTTGGACCAGAGGCTGACACAGAACAAGTACTCAATAAAAGCAGATATTTTGAAATTACTATTTCACATCTCAAGGCTTCTTTTCTTTTTTATTTGTAAAATGAAACAATTGGACATGTAACTCTAAAGCCATTTTTAACTGTGAGAGTCCATAAAATATATAATGTAAATATCTCAGCAGTTATAGATGAAAAAGAATATTAGATTCAGAGAGGATTCAACTTGAAAAACAGATGCAAAAGAAAGATGTAAATCACACTAGTTACATTGAAAAGTGATGATAATAGTAACATGATGTCACTCTAGCTTGGAGGGAATGATATTATGAAAAAATAATGTATCAACATTTAGAATGGAGTCATTAATGATCCATGTATTAGCTTCTAAAACAATGTAACATGATGAACACATATCTAAAAAATTGTGAGGTGGCCAGGAATTTGCTCAGTTTCACAACAGTGCCATAATCCCACATTACTCCATCCATTCAACAAATATTACCCAGTGCCTACTACAGGTCAGGTACTATGCTAAGCAGTGGTGGAGGAGGCAGTATAACTCAGTAATTAAGATCATGGACTTTGAACTTCAGTGAGCTTGAGTTGTAGTCTTGGTTCCACCCACTGCCCATGTGATTTTGGGCATGTTATATTTCCCCAAACCTCAGTGTTCTCAATTATGAAATGGGGATAATAATAATACCTCTTAGAGTTGTAAGGATTAGAAAGGAACAATTGTGTATAGCACTTAGCACAATATCTGGCACATAGTAAAAACTCATAGTAATATTATTATTGTCATTATCACAATGAACAGACCTCATCAATCTTACTGTTTACTTCCCAGGCACTCAGCCTATCAGAACACATTAGCACAGACTTTTTTTAAGGCTGTTTTTTGATTCAAAATTATTTTTGTCATTGTTGCTTTTTTCCCTACCAAGTCCTGAGTTCACTTTGAAACCTTCCGACTACCTTTTCCTGACAGGCTCTCTCACTTTGGCATCTCCTCACACAGCTTGCTTTTTCTTGCTTTCATACTTTCTCCATCAAGTATTCATTCATTTATTCCTTCATTGTTATTAATTCAATTAATCTATTCAGTAAGTATTTATTGACTTCCTACCATATGCCAGGAATTGTTCATTCCCTACACAAACCCACTGGTCCCTGAATCCACCAAGATATCCTTCCTGAGTGTACTTACCCTGTGTGAACACTGCTAGATCAGCATTCACCCAGATCACGGATAGGCCACGGATAGATCACGGCTTAGGCCAACAGCTATCCTGGGTCCCTGGCCATTGTTGAACCTGTGCAGACAGAGAACTGAAGTAGTTCTTCTGGCCTCCTAGAACTGTGTTTAAGGTAAAGCTTGCTGCCAGTGATCCCATTATCAACAGGGACAAAAGTAACCAGAACACACTAGGACAAGGTCAAAAAAAGGGTTTTGAAACCAAACACAATCATTATGTGACATGTCCTGTTAAACATTATTCTTAAGTCTCAGGCAACAACATGTCATAGAATTTTGCCAGAATTCCTCCCAGGTCAGCCAAATTGGATGAAGATGTTTTTTAATCATCCTTGTGTGATGGTGAATATAAGCTTCTGAGAAGAAAGAATCAGTATGTTGGGAAATGATTGCATAAGGCTTGAATGAGCCACTCAGTAAGTGAACAGAGAAATTTGTTGATGACATTACCAATTGCAATTATTCATGAAAGAATCCTTCAACAATTGCAGAGTGGTAGTAGATTCTTCCAAGAAAGACTGTAAGATTATTGTTAGATTCTTTCCTTAGAATGTAGTCAACATTCCTTTTGTTATAAGGTTGTACTTTGGATTGACCCCTGACCCTACAAAAAATAACAGGAAATAATGAATACAAAAAATGGAGAATGAAATAGTGGGAAAGAAAAAAATATATAGACATTAATTCACAAATGCTAAAGATACTGGGTACAGGATGCAGAAAGGAGTATTTAGAATTAGTCATACTCTTCATGCTACCCTCTAGCTACTCAATTTCTAAGTAAACCACAGAGTCTATTTCAGAGTGATTATTTTCCCACCATTCACTTTGAATGGTTTGTTTCAAGAGACAAAAGAAAACTTTCTTCATGCTTACTAGATTGATGCTACCTGTCCCATTTTTCCCTTAACAAAGAGGAAGAACACATTTAAAGTTTTGCCCAGATGGTGAGAGTTTTGAAAGTCACTCCTAAGCTTGATCAGTTTCATTACTTTGAATCTATTTAAGCATGTAAATTTAAGCCATTGTAATAAAGGAAGTAACACTTTAAGGGTTGAGATATATAAATGCATATATATATACACACACATATGTATGTATATATACACTAACATATATATCTCATACTTATGTATAGACTATCAGGAGATGCCTGACAGTAAATGGTGATTATGAAGGGCCTGTTATATTTATAGAAATAAGATGAAGTAAAATAAATTTGGTTTTAGAAGTTAACTAAAAAATGTCCTCATATGTAATACCAGGTATATTTTTTCCTTACGACTTCAAACACCCAGGCAATGCTAGGTAAGAATGAAGAAATTATCTAAATGAAATGGTCCTAATATTCTCCAAGCATGGAGAAAATATAGTGAAACATTATCGATTACTGAAAAGCTCATTTTTGTGATTTGAATTATTTAGAAGACTAGGCTAGGTGTGTTTATCCAGATTTAAACATATTTTAGAAAGTATTTTAATAATAAACTAAATTAGGGCTACTTTTCAGTGCTTTCTTAGAGTCTCATTTCTGTATCTTTGAGCACAATCTGACTACTTCAGTTTATATACTACTTCAGTTTATATGGGTGAGTTTTATTTCACATAGGTTAAACTTTCTATTGTAAAGCTTTTTGTAAGAGATCCTGAATGATCCTAACTCAATATATAGGCAACTAATATACTCATATGCCTTATTTGATGCACCTTATTTGATGTAATTGTGTGATATAAACTTATTTTGTTTTTTGGAACTCCTATTGCATTGTTAATATAACAGAGGTGCTTTTTTAAAAAAAGATTTTATTTATTTATTTTTAGATAGGAGAAGGGAGAGAGATAGGGAGGGAAGGAAACATCAGTTTGTGCTTGCTTCTCACATGCCTGCAACCCAGGCATGTGCCTGACTGGGAATCGAACCAGCGACCCTTTCATTTGAGGGTGGGTGCTCAATCCACTGAGCCACACCAGCCGGGGCACAGGGTGCTTTTTATTCAAAGGTCTAAGTGACTCTCGCAGATTATATGAGACTCTTGTAGTGATTACTCTTATAAGGTGAAAATGTTTTTATGATTAGGATAATTATTCTGATTGTTTTTAAGTTTGAATTTTCATCTTGAGTTGAAAGTAAATCTTTTTTGTATAGACAGTTAATCAAAATATTATATCTCACAAAGTAATAAGGATCATCATCAGAAAACTGCTTAGGTAAAGGGCCAGAGCACAATAACTGCAGGACTTAGGGCTGTTTATCTCTATGGTGGGTACTCTAAGTTCTTGAGTTACCATGTCTGCTTGTAGTAGTTTCTCTATTTTTTCTTTTTCAAGCTGCTATCACTTGCCTCAATTTGTTATTATCAGTGTATCTGCATCCAGAAATTTTTACTGACTCTGGGAAACAAAGTATACTTGTTAGTACTGAGTTTAAAGCAAGAGTTAAAATACTCTGAATGAAAATCCAAGAGGTTTGCTCCAAGTCAAATGTTTGCACTCAAGTTCGAGCACTTGGTGGAATGTATTTTGTCTGCACTATAACTTCTCCCCTCATTCCTTTACTCTTGAATGTATTCCAGGGAGCTGGGGTTGCTGGCACAACTACTCCTAGATTACTTAATGTTCACAACACGTAATTGCTATCAGATTGTCATGATAAATCTTTTAAGCATGGTTCACCTATAAAAAGAAATAAGATATATGTTATAAACTATAAGATGCTCCATTCCTTTATCTTCACATTAAATATATATAAAAGGACTCATTTAAAGAAAAGTAACCTTCACTGAGAGATTAACTTATCTCAAAGAATTGATGAAAGCCTTTTCCAGCCATGCCTTCTTCAGGACTGAAGTTGCTATAACAAAGATACTAGTGTTCTTCCCTGGGATTCTCCCTTGCAAATATCCCTCTATTTCCAGAAGCTTCCTGTTTACAAAACGAGACTAGTTTTTCTTGAGCTGGTTTATCTCTTCATTTGGAAAGAGTTGCTTTTATTTGTAATCTTAGTTCAAGTTTGAACTAAGTACCAGATTAATTTCCAAAAATTTATACTTGACCTATATATCAATTCAATAGATTTTCTTTGTCATAATGAATAGGTCAGCCCATATGTACACACAAATGAAGTATTTTAGGTATTGTATTATCACCTGCATCACCAGCAAGAGCTTCACCTAAAATACTGGTTAGTTGGGACTTTTTGGCTTATTAGTATTTAGTTTCAATTATACCATATCAACAAGGTAAAAATTAGGCCAGTTAATGGCACCTGTCAAACCACTTTAAGATACAAACTTTTTAAAAAAATTTTATTTTAATCATTGTTCAAGTAAAGTTTTCTCCCTTTTACTCCCATTCCAGCCCACCCACCCAACCCTCCCCACTTCCCTCCCATTACCACCCTCCCCCTAGCTTTTGTCCATGTGTCCTTTAAATTTGTTCCTGTAAACCCTTCCCATTCTCCCTTGAAATTCCCTCTTCTCTCCCTTCTGGTCACTGTCAGTCTGTCCCCTATTTCAGTGTCTTTGGTTATATTTTGCTTGTTTCTTTGTTTTGTTGTTTAGGTTCCTGTTAAAGGTGAGATCATATGGTATTTGTCTTTCACTGCCTGGCTTGTTTCACTTAGCATAATGCTTTCCAGCTCCATCCAACCTGTTGCAAAGGGTAGGAGCTCCTTCTTTCTTTCTGCTGCATAGAATTCCATTGTGTAAATGTACCATAGTTTTTTGATCCATTCATTTACTGATGGGCATCTAGGTTGCTTCCAGCACCTAGCTATTGTAAATTGTGCTGCTATGAACATCGGGGTGCAAAGGTTCTTTTGTATTGGTGTTTTAGTGTTCTTAGGATAGAGTCCCAGCAGTGGAATTGCAGGGTCAAAAGGCAGATCCATTTTTAGTTTTCTGAGGAAGTTCCATACAGCTTTCCATAGTGGTTGTCTGAGTCTGCAGTCCCACCAATAGTGCATAGGGTCCCCTTTTCTCCACAACCTCTCCAACACTTGTTGTTTGTTGTTTTGTTTATGATGGCCATTCTGACTGGTGTGAAGTGGTATCTCATTGTGGTTTTAATTTACATCTCTCTGATAGCTAGCAATATTGAACATTGTTTCATGTGTCTTTGGATCTTCTGCATGTCCTCCTTGGAGAAGTGTCTGTTCAAGTCCTTTGCCCATTTTTTAATTGGGTTACTTGCCTTCTTAGAGTGGAGTCATGTAAGTTCTTTATATATTTTGGAGATTAAACCCTTGTCTGAGGTATCATTGGCAAATATGTTTTCCCAAGATACAAACTTTTAAAATTTTCCTGCAAGTAAGAGACAGTATATAATGATGTTTTTTCTTTTAAGACATCTCATTTTTATTGTAAAAACACAGATAGCAAAAATAAGAAAGTAGAAATCATCCATCATTTTAGAACTCCAAGTAAACCATTGTTAATAACTTCAGATACATACATACACATATATCAAAGATATGGTTATATATCAAAGGGTACATATATATCAAAGGCTGGATGTGTTTAATGGTCTCTATTAGTCAACATATTTTTATGGTTTTGTGTAGAGTTCTTAAGTGTTGTGCGATGATGATATGATTTTTTTCATATGAGAAGTACATAAAATTATTTTTTACAGACTCTGGTTGAGATTTTTCAAAATATTGGCAATACCAATCTTGCTGATTTCATTGCTGGATTACTCACCATCATCATCTGTATGGCAGTTAAGGAATTAAATGACCGATTTAAACACAAAATCCCAGTCCCTATTCCTATAGAAGTAATTGTGGTAAGTAGAATATGTAATTAGAAAATTCAGCATTAATTAGTTTGACAAGAAAGGAATTGTTTAAACAAATGAATTTTTAAAACCTCTTTTGTTTTATTTCAGACAATAATTGCTACTGCCATTTCATATGGAGCCAACCTGGAAAAAAATTATAATGCTGGCATTGTTAAATACATCCCAAGGGGGTGAGTATAGTATTCCTCTTAGGAAATACTAATATAGTAAGTCAGTACTTTCTGTTTAAATGAAACCTTTTATTACAAGCTTCATTTCATTGGTGCTCCTTCAATAGTCCTATTTGTGTACGATCATAAAGAACCACCCATTTGTGCAAACTATCAGAAAAGCAGTATGTTCAATCCATTTGTTTAAAAGCAGCCCCCATATACTCTCCCTTTGTCCTTCACTTTCTTAAAAAGTGGCAAGACGTGTACAGTTACCACCAGACTCCTGATTTAAACTTACATGTATAATCATAATAATATAAATAGAATCATGGATAGTAAAATTATTTTTTTGCACTGAGAACAATCTTCTTAAGAAATCAGAGACATCTAATCTAAATTCTCCATTAGTTTAACTAATCTTAGGTAATACTTATGTCATTTGTTTCTTTAAATAAAATGCATAACCTGCAAGGGAATTTTTATGTATGTGTGGTAGTTTGGTGAATTATGACCAGAAAGAACTAAGGTCCTTTGTCTATCTCTGACACATCTAGTTCTATGGCCCTGAGGGGTGGGGGTTTTCTTGTAAAATGAGGGTAATGACAGCGACTGAAACTTCAGTTTGAGCTTGTTATGAAACACTAATGAGATCTCTCATAAAACGCACAGAGTGGACCAACTGCCCTACACTATAATTTTATCATATGGCATTTTAAAAGAAGCCCAAATGTGTATTAGGTTTATAACTAACTTACAGCATTTGTGACTAGACTTGCTGTTATATAATCACTAAACACTAATTTCCCCTCTCCTAATACTAGCTGAAGGACCTTGCACCAGTCTTTGTTCCTCCACACTCCCAGTAGTAACACCTCGGCCAGCGGAGTATCAGCGCTTACTCCACAGGGAACTGCTGCCTTTTCATTTGATCCATCTTATGATTTCTTCTAACATCTGTTAAAAAAATATTTGAAAAATTGCAACTGGCTCCATGGGCCTTAGTTAACATAGTATCCATTGTAATGTTTCTCAGACTTAACAAGACCCTTGTTAAGATAGGTTCCTGGTTCTCACCTGAAACCTGTTAAATCAGGCTTTCCAGAGGAGGGGCCTTGGAATTAATATTTTTCAAAAGTGCCTCAAGTGATTCTTATGATCAGGCATTTTTGGGAAATTTTACCTTAGAGAATCAACATTTTGATAGTAAATCCTAGTGTTGAAAGGAATTAAATAAAAGATACAGTGTGGCTTCTTGAGTTACAGCATTTTCAACAGAATAATTAGATTATTAGAGTACTTAAAAACAACTACACAAAAATGTATGTATTATAGACTTCTTTTGTCAGGCTTCCTAAAATGTAACACTTTGGTGTGGTCCACAGCAAATGCTTGGTCCCATAAATCTGTGTTTCATTTGTTGATATGGGGAACTCATTTCTGCTGCCCTAAATTATCCTTTCTTCCCCTATCCAGAGCTTTCCTGACTGCTCTCCCTTTGAAAATGGATCTCTAGTCTCTTGCTCTTGGCTTTAGTCAAGCTGAATCCTCTGACAGACCACCTTGTGTGAGTGGTCAGCTAACCTAACCTGCCTGACCCCAGGGTCTCTAAGCTCCTCCGCAAGGCAGTGAGCCCGTTTGTCTTATTTAGCTCTGTCTTCTTAGCACAGTCCCTATCTCACAGTGGGACCCCAGAAAATATTTCCTAATGGAATACAACACCCAAGCCTATGCCATTATAAGTAAGCCACAAGAGAAGACTTTGTTGCCTGATCTAATGTGATAGTACAGAAACAAGCCTAAAGACATTAACAAACCTGAAAAAGAAAGGATGGAGTAGAGAGATTAGAAAAGAAAAAAAGTAGTGTTAAAGGTTAGAACAACAAAAGCAAGAGGAGCAAAGAGAAAGGTCGAGTTAGTGCACTTTTTCATTGTCTCCCCTTCAATCCTCCAAAAGAGAGTAAAAGTAAGGCTGCTGTTGGCAGTTCCTTTTCATCCTGTTGAGGATCAATACCATATGCTTGGATCACTTAGTCCCCAGTACATCTGTATATGAATCTAATGTCTGTAAGAATCTTATTTCTACTTTATCACGCCCCTCTAATTATAGGGGGGAAAATGTAATTTATTATTAAAAGAATTTTAGGCTTATGTGAGTTATATGTAGAGGAGATTTTTCTCCTCTGGAATTGGTCTTTTCTCCTAAGACTTCTGGAATTACACCATACAGATAGATAGTTGTCAAGATATACGTTTATGAAGGTCATCACCCAAATTTCACATTTGGAGACAACCACATGATTATAAAGTAATAGGGCTTTTTTCTTTGTACAGTTTGTAGTATAGCTCAGGTTTTGTGAAACAGTAGTCATTCGACTCCACCACAATCACTAGGATATGTTAGTCATTGTGACTATGAAGCATTCTGATGATTACATAAATTTAATTCTTTTCTCAACTCAAGAAGATTTTAAATATCAAGGCTCTTTTTAAAATTTGATTTTAGAGAGAGGGAGGAAGGTGGGGAGAGAGAGAAAGAAAAAGAGAGAGAGGGAGAGAGGGAGAGAGAAGAGAGAGAACTGTCAATTTGCTGTTCCTCTTATTTATTCATTCACTGGTTGATTCTTACATGTGCCCTGACCAGGGAATCAAACCCACAAACTCACAAACCCATGACCTTGGCATATTGGGACAATGCTCCAACCAACTGAGCTGCCTGGCCAGGGCTAAATATCATGGCTCTTGAGATACTGATTTTCCACTTAGCTCTTTAGCACTGTATATTCTTTGTTTCTTTAATAAATCTTACATCTCTTCATACAGAGTAGATCTCACTTTATGGCCAGTATATCCTTTAAATTCAAAGATCTTTAAGTTGAAATTGTGTAAGCAGAAACACTAATGTGGACAGTGCATGCCATAAGATTTTATGATATTAAGGAGCCAGTAATGGCAAGTTTATTTATGTCAGAGGTACAAAGGAGGCAGCATTTGTAGGCTGTCAATAGGGAACAAAAAAATCAGCTGATGAAAGGGCACCAACTTCTGATTAAAAATTATAAAACTGAGTGCTGCCATTTATGCTCATGTGCTTTTGCCCTCTTGGATCAAGTGTTTTCTTGTCTAACTTGTGGCTGGGTTGGGGAGAGGGGAAAAGAGAATTTTGGTCAAATATTCACAGCACTTTTCATTTGAAAACTCACTAGATTCTTGCCTCCTGCACTGCCACCTGTGAACTTGTTTTCTAAGATGCTGGCTGCATCGTTTTCCATCGCTGTGGTGGCTTATGCTATTGCAGTGTCTGTAGGAAAAGTATACGCCATCAAGTATGATTACACCATCGATGGGAACCAGGTATGGTCACCCTCTTGCTAACTGGTTTTGAAGGGCTGAAAATAAATACATGGAAAAGATTTTATTGTCTGCTAAAGAAGAGATTGGTTTCTTCTACCAGTCCTTATTGAGTTGGTTTCCCTCTTGTGCATTGGTAATTTGAAATTATTTTAAAATATGCATACTGCATCACTTTGGTTTTTAAGAAATCAGTTAAAGTGATAAGAATTTTTAAAGAGTTAATTCAGTCAGGTTATAAATAACATTCAAAGTTAATATATTAGGTCAGAACAAGGATTCTTCATGTTATCTTATACCTCCTGGTAATTTTTTAAATAGTGGCTATAATATGACAAAATGAACACTCTTAATAATAGCTATGGCCACTTTAAATTCAAATGGTTCTCTGCACAATTAATGACACAGGACAGTTTTTGTATGCCTCTGATACATTGCCAGGTGAGCTCACAAATTCTCAGTAATGGTGTATTTCTGAAAGCACAGCATAGCAATTACACCAGTTAAATGATTAGTAATCAAGCAGAATAATAGCTCTCCTAGTCATAATAGGCTTCACAGCAAATATTCAACCATGGAAATAACACTTTATGTGAGAGCAGAAGAAATGTTTTATGTGAGAGCTATAGCAGATATGCCACTCACCAGGAAGTAAAATAAGCAATTTAGCAAAACATTAGTTACTCTTCCTCATCAACCTTAAAAAAAACAATTAAGAGCAGTGAGATGCTTTTAGAGTCTAAGGACCCCAAACTCCTGACGTTTTTCAGGACCCAGGCAATTTTCATGGTAAAAATTAAATTGGGACTCTCAGGCAGGGTGGGCTTGGGTGCTTGTTTCCTTAACATTCGTCCTTAAACATCTGGCAAGGGTCTTGAAAAGATTATATTTGTAGCATCACTGTCATCCAGTCTCTCCCTTAGGAATTCATTGCCTTTGGGATCAGCAACATCTTCTCCGGGTTCTTCTCTTGTTTTGTGGCTACCACAGCCTTGTCCCGCACTGCTGTCCAGGAGAGCACTGGGGGAAAGACACAGGTAGGGAGCAACAGTGTGGTCATATCCATCCATGGTGAAGTCAGGCCCTGGCCAGGTGGCTCAGTTGGTTGGAGCATCTTCCCATACAGCAAAGGGTTGAGGGTTCAATCCCCAGTCAGAGCACACACCTAGGTTGTTGGTTCAATATTGGGTTGGTGCGTGTATGGGAGGCAACTGGTAGATGTTTCTCTCTCACAATGACGTCTCTCTCTCTCTCTCTTTCTCCCTTCCTCTCTTTCTAAAATTAATAAGCATATCCATGGGTGAGGATTTAAAAAAGAGAGAGAAAAAGAACAGGTCTGGAATAGCAGTTCAGAAAGGCTTGCTCAAGAACAGAGCAGGACAATCAGCCTATGAGAAGAGAGAGCATGCTTCCTGCTCTGATTTCCCTGACTCCCCCTGTTTGTCTTATTTCACCCCCTCACCAAGAACCTTTCAAACCACAACACTGACAGTTTTCTGAGGCAGTAATTCTCAAATCTCTTCATGTCAGTGCTGAGCTGGCAGATAATTACATTTACTTGTTTTTTTTTCAGGGACAATAACAATTGACAAAGAACCAGTAATGAAGAAAGCTAACTCTTATCAGTTCGTTATCTGGAGCTAGAGAAGGCCTAGTGAAAGCATATTCATGGCTTACTGAGTTATTGTATTTTCAGAAAAATTGAGTGTCTATTTACATTTCCTTTACAAGGATCAGGAACTTCCTCCAGAGGCCTTTGGTCCCACAGAACAACAGTTTGCTAGCCAAGAATATTTTGTTAAAATGTTTTGACATTTCTTCTTGAGTAAGATCTTTTTCCCTCAAGTTTGGAAGGTCAGTTTAATCTTGCCTTTTATATGTGTTCTTAGTCGTTGCCTTTACAAGGTGACCCCAAAACCCGCGTCCCAGTTAATCTCTGGATAGCCTCTCCTTTAGCCCAGAATACTGAGGAGCCTTTCTCAGAGGCCATGCTTTCCAGCCAAACATGGAGTCAAAGATGTCAAATCCAGTGGCTGAGGGCAAGGGGCGGGCTCAGGAGTTGTGTTTCTGTTATGCCTGGAGAGTTTCTCCTTCTAGCACAGAGAGAACTATTATTTAAGAGTAAAGAGTAAATTGAGACTATAAAGGAGAACAACAAATCCAAAGTAAATAGTATCATACACATGTGCACACACACAGAATCTTTAAAACAGGGTTTTATTAGAACAGACATACTACCAATCAGCATAAAAAAGAATGACCGAGAAAACCAATGACTTCAATAGTGGCTTGCCCAAGGAGAGTTTTAATTGTCCCCAAAGCACACATGATACTTCTTTCTTATTTATAATGGGTCTTTTCAACAGGGCTGGAAGAATGGATCTCTCCCAATTTCTTGGCTCCTATTGAACAAAACTTTAATTTTAATTTTTATAATTATTCTTTGTAAAATTGAGTTCACTTTTTATGCAAACATTTCTAGCTCTGAGGGTGTAAATAAAACAAGATAGCCCATACCAGGGAGCATAACCAGAGACCTGTTGTCAAAGGAGAAGAGGTCAGAGGTGATTTCCAAAACTGCACCCATGTTTGGGGCCAGCTGCCAGCAGCAGGAGTTTCCTCTGCTTTCATTTGAGATGGAGCATTGACAAGGTCTCCAGGGCACATGGCTGTAAGCAGGTACAGGCAGATCCCCAACTGCTGATGTTCACTGCCCTGCTGTCACCTCCAGGTTCAAATGAGGCACAGACTGGCTGCCCAAGTAGGACTGCTGATGTAAAATGATTCCTTGGCAGAGAGTTTAGGGATAATGGTGTTATGGTAAGCTAATACCCCCCAGCCACACACTGGCCTGTATTATATTTAGGAGTGAAGGAAGCCAGGATTTCAGTATTGAATAATGAAACAAGCACAGAAATGGCTTGATATTTAATTACTGAAATGTATACTAAGCTCTGGGGTTAAAAGTCTAAGTGCCTGAACTGAAATCCAGGGACTCATGACTGAATAAACCAGCCAGTCTTTCCTTGTGTGGCTTCTCATGTTTTCTTTTACTTTAGAGCCTCAGTTTCAGCATCTCTTCAATGGGCATAGTAACTGTATCCACCTTAGGGATGTTGTGAAGTCCTGTATTTGTAAATCTGTAAATTTACTAACTGAGTATTTGTAAATGCTCATGGCTCCAGTCATTAACTCCTCACGATAAGAAGTGTCTTAACACCTATGAGACATATATTACACCAGTCACAGAACCACTGAGCACATACTTGCTAAATGAATGAACAAACGGAATAATGAGTGTTGGTGGATTATTAACTGTTTCAGCACATCTGGAGATTGTAGAAGAGCTCAACATTGCAAGCCGTTCTTTCTGTGCCCCCATCTGATTCCTACTGGTTCATGAAAAAGAAACTCTAATTACAAACTATTCTCTAGTTCTGATTACCCTCTCACTTAACAGAATAGTGAATTTTCTAGTAATTGAGTCTAATTATAGATACAAAATCTATAGCATTTCCCACAAACCAGCCTTAATTAAATTAAGTACAAGTAATGGGCCCTCCCTCACAGATTTCAATGTAGTAACCAGAATTAGTCTTGACCCCCATAACCAGAGGCTTATTATTACAGAAACTTGACAAGTAGATGGCCACCCACCTGGCATGCGTTGGGCAGCTGGCTGCAGTCCCTGTCTCCCACTCTCCATCTTGCTCCCAATTCACAGAGCCCTACATCCACAGTGAGATGCAAGTGGCTCATTGTAGACAATAAGTACTGGCTAAGCAATTGCATGGAAAGAAAGAGGAATGAAGGGGTTGAAGGAGGAAGGGAGGGTATTAGCATCTATGCTTAGATAGGAGATAGGAAAGTCACCAAGGTACTGGGAATCTGGTGGCATGGTGCTAGAAGGTAACAAATTGCCAAAAAAAGGGATGTGGATGCAAAGCAAAATTTTTAGTACATCATATGCATAATATTGCCTCAGGCTGACCTTGCTATACTCTGAACATGAGTGATCAATTTGCTAGGTGAAGTGAGAGAGTGCAAGTATGAAATTTCCTTGTTTTGTATGTCTCCTTTAACTCAAACATTTTGCACTAGGCAGTATCTGTACCCAACACAACCTTTCCTATTGCTTCCTCTCTGATTGCTCTGCTTCTGGTTCCCTGTCTTCTCTTCTCCTTTGTTCTAGAGCTTCTAATCTTCCCCTTGGCCATTCCCTAGCTGTCTCAACAGAGAATTCGTTGGCCATCTGATTAAACCAGAGAATAGTCCTCAATCCCTCAGCCCCTCTCCAAACTATTTATGGATCTTAGGAGTGTTTTTTTGGCCAGCAAAGGTAAACATTCTGAAGTTTTCTTTACTCTGCTATTGTCTGTCATTACTCCGGGCAACCAGAGTGCACAGTTCTGGGCCTGCATCTGTGAAACTGTTAGAGGAGACAGGAGACATGGTCCACCTCTCAGGAGGCTCATGTGACATTTGGGTTGGCAATAAGACTGGCAAATTTATTTTCTCTGGGACTTTGGTGGCAACAATGTGCTACACATACAGTGTTATCAGAATTGTTATTATGGCTGCTGATTCAACATTGCAGAAGAATCCATATGTGCTCTGAGAATTTACTTCCGCCAAACATGGTCTGTTGTTGGGGAAGGGGAATGGTCCATGTCTCCTGGTATGGAAAATAATTAGAAGTTTGGGCCCCTGAATTGACACCAAAATTAGAGATCAGATATATCCAGGTGACACCCAGGTCAAACTGGCTTTACTTTAGCATGCTCAGTCTCCACATTTTATTTAATTTCTCTGCCATAGCTACTATATATATATAGTAGTTATGCAGTTTTTATTTTTCTTCAGTTTTGTAGAGTTTTAGAAAATAGTTCTTATTTCTCTCATCCCATGGATGGGCACACACATCCAGCAGGCTGGGAGATAGGAGGGGGCAGGAGGGGCTCCGTTCATGGGAGATGTGTATCTTTCAGGTTGCTGGCATCATCTCTGCTGGGGTTGTGATGATCGCCATTGTTGCTTTGGGGAAGCTGCTGGAACCCTTGCAGAAGGTAACCCTGCTTCTCGGCACACTGATTGTGTAATTTCTCTGCTCTGCCACCAGAGAAATAACAGGAGATTTATAAATCATCACATGGAAAACCATTCCCCGAATAACACAGCCCTCCCTGTCTCTCTTGGCAGTCGGTCTTGGCAGCTGTTGTAATTGCCAACCTGAAAGGGATGTTTATGCAGGTGTGTGACATTCCTCGTCTGTGGAGGCAGAACAAGATTGATGCTGTAAGTCACCCATTTTTCTCTAAAAGATTTGGTTTTTATAGGCCTTTCGCTGCATCATTGTTTTCTTATCTCCTAAATTGTACTCGACTTGCATTTTGGGAGGCCCAAGGCAGGAATTAAATTGTGTACATAAGCCAAAGATTTGAAGTCTTCCTCTTCCACATGAACTGTGTTTTTGGAGGTCCTGTATCCATTTCCAGCAAAAGTCCCATAGGTGCTCCATTCATATACCGTTTTCTTTCTAGGGCCCAAAGCCAAACAAGCAAATTAAAGCAAACAACAAAACCCCCTCTAATTTAGAAAGACAAACAAAACAAAACACAAAACAAAACAAGAACAACAACAAAAACCCATGCTGATTATAATTCTGACCAAAGTAACCTTCATAACTATTCTGAGGAATTATAAAATCCTGAAACTAAACCCTTTAGAGTTATACTTTAATTTAAAACAGAACAGATAAAAGGAATGAGAAAACATCCTATATGTTGATATGGAATGATCTCTAAGCCAAATTGTTAAGTGAAAACAGACCAGCACAGAATAGAATAGTGTGCATAATAACACAAAAAGATGGAAAAATAAAACATGCTTTGTAATCATATTTACTTGTATTTGCAAAAACGACATGCTGGTGAAAATTGTGGGTGAGTGTTTGTATCACACACTCAGAGAGAGAAACAAAAGAGAACACAAACAGGGTGGGAGGATGGGAATGGGTGAGGGGAGGAGGGGCTGCAAGCAAGATTTTTACTGCACACCCTTTTTATATTAATTCCGTTTTGAACATGTTATTATATTACCTATTTGAAAATTAAATTAAAAAATAGTTAAATGGGACAATTGGTCTATATTGGGAATGCCAATTTCCACTTTTACTTAAATAGGAAATGAAATCAGAATATTAAATAAAACTGTGTGTGGTAAGGGAAATGGGGACAACTGTATTTGAACAATAACAAAAACAATGTATGGGGGATTGGGGTGCTGACCCCTTGCACAGTCAAAATTCCACATGTAACTTTTGACTCCCCCAAAACATAATTAATACCTTATTGTTGACCAGAATTACCAATAATATAATTGACTAATGTATTTTGTATCTTATATGTATTATGTATGTATGCTTATAATAAGTAAGCTAGAGAAAAAAATATTATTAAGAAAATCATAAGGAAAATACATTTAGAGCACTTAGTGAAAGAGGAATCCATGTATAAGTGGACCCACACAATTCAAATCTGTGTTGTTCAAGGGTTAACTGTAATATGTTCATAAACAATTGATCTTATTAATTGTGCAGGTAATCTCTCACTTGATGGTACATGATAAATTAATATTGCTTTTTATTTCCATTTCCCTAGGTTATCTGGGTGTTCACATGCATAATGTCTATCATTCTGGGACTGGATCTTGGGTTGCTCTCCGGCCTTGTATTTGGGTTGCTGACTGTGGTGCTGAGAGTACAGTTGTGAGTAATATAAGACCCAGGATACCTGTGGCCAGGACAGCACACTCTGAGATTTCTTATGACATTTTGATAAATATAGTAAAATGACTCTCTTTCATAATAGTTACTATATATTGCATGTTTCTGTGAATTAAGCACATAGTACTCTCCACATATAATCATATTTAATCTTCAAAAAAAGTCCTGTGAATAGGTTATATTATTCTCATCCCAAAGGTAAGAAAATTGAAGCTCAGCAAGGTTAAGAACCTTCCTTAAGATCACATAGCTAGTAAGGGGCAGAACTAGGATGTGAACCCAGATGCATCTCACCCCAACATGTGCACTTAATCACATGCTCTAATGCTGGTGCTCTCCTCCTAGTCTTGGTAAGACCAAAAGGTATGTAATTCAGCAACAGACTGAGGTTGCTTTGCAGTTTCTTTTTAAAATGAGATGAAGTCTGTGAGGCACTGGGCCCAAGGCTCAGAACAAGATAGCTGCTAAATATATTTTAGCTCATTTGGTTGAAGCTGGTAATCCAGAAGTTATATAACCCAGAACAGGAGACTTAAAAACAGTTCATTGTAGTCAAGATTTATTCAAATCTGCCAAATAAGGCATGTACCCAATAAGCCCCACAATTATATTGAAAAAAAAGAGCACACAATTAGATCATCTTAAGAGTGAAAGCAGTAAAGACAGTTGAAAGTGAAGGAAAATCATCTATGAGGCAGCATAAAGGGGTATGATTTTTGTTGGTTTGTTTTGACTTTTTTCTTTAAAATATATTTTATTGATTATACTATTACATTTGTCCCATTTTTTTCTCCCCTTTCTCCCCCTTCACCCTTTACCTCCCCTCCCACCAGCATTACCTGACCCCCTTAGTTCACGTCCATGGGTTATACATACAAGTTCTTTGGCTTCTCCATTTCCTATCTCCCCCTGTCTATTTTGTACCTACCATTTATGCTTCTTATTCCCTGTCCCTTTTCCCCCATTCTTCTCCCACCCCCTCTCCACTGATAACCCTCCATGTGATCTCCATTTCTGTGATTGTGTTCCTGTTCTAGTTGTTTGCTTAGTTCATTTTTGGTCTTGTCCATTTTTAGGTTCAGTCATTGATAGGTGTGAGTTTGTTGTCATTTTACTGTTCATAGTTTTGATCATCTTCTTTTTCCCAGATAAGTCCCTTTAATGTTTCACATAATAAGGGTTTGGTGATGATGAACTCCTTTAACTTGACCTTATCTGGGAAGCACTTTATCTCACCTCTTATTCTAAATGATAGCTTTGCTGGATAAAGCAGTCTTGGGTGTAGGTCCTTGCCTTTCATGACTTGGAATACTTCTTTCCAGCCCCTTCTAGAAGCCTGCAAGGCTTCTTTTCAGAAATCAGGTAACAGTCTTATGGGAACTCCTTTGCGTAGGTAACTGTCTCCTTTTCTCTTGCTGCTTTTAAGATTCTCACCTTATCTATAATCTTGGCTAATGTCATGATGATGTGCCGTGGTGTGTGCTTCCTTGGGTCCTGCTTCTTTGGGACTCTCTGAGCTTCCTGGACTTCCTGGAAGTCTATTTCCTTTGCCAGATTAGGGAAGTTCTCCTTCATTATGTTTTCAAATAAGCTTTCAATTTCTTGCTCTTTCCCTTCTTCTTCTGGCACCCTTATGATTCAGATGTTGGAATGTTTAAAGTTGTCCCGAAAGTTCCTAAGCCTCTCCTCATTTTTTTGAATTCTTGTTTCATCATTCTGTTCTGTTTGACTGTTTCTTTCTTCTTTCTGGTCCGAATCATTGATTTGAGTCTTGGTTTCCTTCCCTTCACTGTTGGTTCCCTGCATATTTTTCTTTATTTCACTTTGCACGGCTTTCACTTTTTCCTCCATTTTGCAAGCATACTCAATAATATCTGTGAGCATCCTGATTACCAGTTTTGAACTCTGCATCTTACAGGTTGGCTGTCTTTCCATTGCTTAGTTGTATTTTTTCTGGAGCTTTGATCTGTTCTTTCATTTGAGCCATATTTTTTTTTTTGTCTCCATGTGCCTGTTTCATAGTAAGGGGTGGAGTCTTATATTTGCCAGGGCAGGACAACCCAAATCACTGAGTTGTGGTGCTATATGTGGGGGAAGAGTCGGAGCAGAAACAATGCCACTTGCTCGGCTCTCGGCTGGCTTTCAGTCACTTCCCCTGCTACCCACAACCAAATTGGGCCCTTCTGGTGCTGATTCCTGGGCGGATGGATTTGTGTACATTCTAGGGCCCTGTGAGTCTTTCTAATGAACTCTCTTTAATGCTGGGAGTTTCTCACAGCCTCAGCCCACACAATCCCCACAGGTTTTTACAGTCAGAGGTTTTGAGGCTTTATTTCACTGTGCTGGAACCCTGGGTTGCATGGTCTGTCTCACTCCCCAATTATTCCTCCAGTTTAATCTGCATGCAAATATGGGACCATCGGTCTGCTGCCTTGCTGCACATTCTCTAGGCCCCTGCTGTCCATCTCTGACCCTCCTATCAGTCTAAGTGAATGTTTTTTCTTTAACTGCTTGGTTGTCAGACTTCCATACAGTTTGATTTTCGGACAGTTCTGGTTGGTTTTGTTTCTAAGTTTGTTGTCCTTCTTTTGGTTATGCCAGTAGGCAAAGTGTATCTACCTACATCTCCATCTTGGCTGGAAGTCCCTCAATTTTTTTCTGTTTTTACTCTTGAGAGGCTTTTTGTGTGCACCCTTCTGGGTCTGCAAAATTGTCTGAACAGAGAGGGAAACAGAGCTTCTCTCCCACATCAAAACTTGCTGCCTTTCTGGACTTCTGGCCCTTCTTTGTATTTGGGCAGTGAAGGAATAAAAACCTGGAAACTATCAACATGGATGTCTTCAATTTAGCATAAGTCCACCTTTCGTGTTCCACCAGCCAGTTCTTCTCTCCCTTCTTTTCACCCCTGGCACGCTGGAGCCCACAAAAGACTGCTGTACACTGCCTCGGCACCCTTAAATGGTGCCCAAGGGCCCCAAAGAGTTCACAAGCTCCCAAAGTGTCCAGTTTACTTCCATGTAACAACTCAAGAGTTGTCCTTAAAAAAGGCTGCCTCTCCTGCTCTATTTGCCTCAGCGTTTACTTTCCTTGTGTGGGTGTGCTTAGAGGAGAGGGTTTTGTGGAGAGAAACTATGTAATTTATGAGCTTTAAGTTAAAAGTTAGCACAGCACAGTAAGCAGAGGAGAAATCGGTGGCACATTTTAGCTGCTGTGTTGGTTTAACTGGGCTTTTAGCCAACAGAAAGCAGTATCCTCCACAGTATTTAATTTCCAGTAATTATAAGGCTGATCCAGAGAGCACATTGCTGGGAGTACCCCAAACAGATACTCTTTCTTCAGGAATTGTATTTAGCATTTGTTCCTACTCATGCTTGAAGAATGACAGAATTTATTTGATTGCAACAGGAACAGGAAATAGGAAGTGGTTATTTCTGGCTCTCCCAGGCTCCTATTTCTATAAAATGAGACTAATTTGATCATTGCGGACTCTTCATAATTCATCAGAAAGTTGCAATAAGTCACAAGGAATTTCCAGGCACTGGCACTATGTCAGGCACTGAAGACCAACAGGCTAATGATAGAGCCAGGCTGCTCCTGACCTCTGGGATCTTTTCAAACTTCTGATTCTTAGTTTACTCTGCAATAAAAATGAGGATAATACTGCTGACCTTTCAGGGTTATGGTGGGGCTTAAATAAGATTTAACAGGTGTGAAAGATCTTTGCTTATTCTATAAAGTCCTACACACATGAAAGTCTGACGCTCATTATTTCTCTCAGCCATCAGAGAAGAGTCACAGTTCCCGTCTCCTCCAACTGCACACAGACACCAGCTGTTCACTTCAGAGTTAGCTATAGGAGCATGTTGTCTGCAGTAGAGGCAGTGTCCAAAAAACATCAGAAATGATGAGCTCTTTAGTATCTGTTATTTCTTTTTATTCCAAGATATGCTTGTTCCAAAAAATGCTGACTGTAATTTTGTTTTAGTCCCTCCTGGAATGGTCTTGGAAGCATCCTTAGCACAGACATCTACAAAAGTACCAAGAACTACAAAAATGTGAGTGCCTTTGTGAGATATTTACTGGACTGGGGTTTGCTGGCCTGGATCACATATTTCTCTTCTAGTATATTAGAGACAAAGTAGGCACAGGTGGGGTGCTTTTCCACAAATCCACTGGGGTGTTTTGATTCAATGTGCCTTCTGATATCCATGGTTTACATGAATTTTGCTGATGCTAGTTGAATGTCATTTTAAAGCCAAACCACTGTAAAAAGAATTTTTAAATATAGGCAATTAAATTATTTTGAGAAGTTGTATCAAATTCTAATTCTTTTGATAAAGGGGGTTAAAGGTACAAATTTCTAGTTAAAAAATAAGTCCCGGGGATGTGATGTACAATATGGTGACTATAGTTAATAACACTGCTTTACATATTTGAAAGTTGCTAAGAGACTGAGTCTTAAAAAGTCTCATCACAAGGAAAAAATTTTAATTATGTATGATGACAGATGTTAACTAAACTTAGTGTGATGATCATTAGCAATATATACAAGTATCAAATTATGGTATACACCTGAAACTAATAAAATGTTATAAGTCAATTATACCTCAATAAAAAATGTGGACACAACCTCAGAGACCTCTAGAACAAAATAAAACATATTGACATATGCATAGTGAGAGTCGCAAAAGAGGAGGAAAGGAAAAGACAGGCATAATATTGAAATAATATCAAAATTTCTCCAAAACTGATGAAAAACATCACATAAATATCTAAAAGGCCCATCAGACCCAATTACTGCACATACGAAGGTCTACACCTAGACACATTACAGTAACACTGCTGAAAGCCAGGGCATTAAAAAAAGTCTACAACAGCGGAGGAAGAAAAAATACTATTTTTTTGCTATATAATCCTTATCGTCCATGAAATTGTCTAAAATCCCTGGAAGATTTTTCACTCATTTTTACTAAGAGACTTTCATGTTCTCTGTCACCAAGAAGCTTAGTTGGCATTGTGCTCTATGCTTAGAATTGGAAGAAATAATATAAAATACAGGAAATTAAAAAAACAAAGAAAATGAAAAAAAAACCCCACAAAGAAATATCTTACTGATAGGCTTTGTAGACCCTGCAGATAAGATTGCTTAGTGACCAGCAAGGGAAATGAAGATGAAAAAGCAGAGAAAGAAAATGAAGAAAACACTAATTTAGCAAAAAAAAAAAAGTTACAATGAAAAAAAAATTTTAAATGCAAACTCTAGGAAGTTGTAGTCTAATTTTACCTTAACATTAAAAAAATGTTAGACACTGAATCTGGAATTCCAGTAGTTGCCACTTAATTTATTTCCACAGCTGTCCTCAGTTATGTTGAGCCAAGTGCCATCAAGAGCTACAAATGATTCTAGAAAATCTCTCATCTTTGGGTTCTGAGTTCTGAATTCTGGGCTCTGGGCTCTTGTAGAGACCTTGCCCAAGTCACCCAGGCTCGCAGGGCCTCCATTTTCTTCTCTGATGTGCTGGACTAAAATTGTTATGACTCCTAAACACCAGACAAGCCTGTGATTCTGGTTCTACTTTGGGTCTGGTCACTGTGTCAGTGTAAGAACAAGCAAATGACATCATAGGCCTCAGCTCCAGCAGATCCCCTTGAATTTGCTACTTTTTTCTATTTTAAAGGAATTTGGGGGGATAAATAGAGGGGCAGTGTTACGAACCTGAGGCAACTTATGTCATTATTCTGAGCTGCTTTTTTCATCCAGAAATCAGAGGGTTGAATAATTGCTTTTCATGGCCCTTTCTTTCATCAGCTTCTCCTGGATAGTTCAGGAGTGTGGGGAACCTATCGCCTCCCAACTGGGATGAGGCCCTAAGAAGGAAGTTGAGTACTGTTACCCAGCTCCTCTGAGTGATTGTAACTCAGCTTCTACCTGAATAGCCAGAAATTTAATTGAGTATTTGAGGCCTGAAATTATTTAACCTCAATATCTTTTTAATACTAGGTTGAAGAACCTGAAGGAATGAAGATTCTTAGATTTTCAAGTCCTATTTTTTATGGCAATGTCGATGTTTTTAAAAAATGTATCAAGTCTACAGTAAGTATTTTATCCCTAAAAATCTGTTTGCTAACCTCCTTTGAGATTTCATTCATTCTACAGGTATTTATTGGGCTCAAAGTGGACATGAGGCCCTATATACTACTCCCTTTGTATAGGACATTAAGAATTATAACATACATCCTTGCCCTCAAATAACTTATGCTCTGTTGAAGATAGGAAAAAAAAAAACAGATGTTAAAATCCAGGTAGCAGTAACTATGCCACTGGACAAAAACACTAGAGTTGTCTCCAGGCAGAATTTGAATAATTTCAAAATAAATGGTATAGACAGTACTTGCTAAGAGTTCATAGCAGGGAGTGATCCATGTGAGCTGGAACTCATCAGGCAGTGTGGCCGTGAGCAGAAGGAAGGAGATTATAGCAGGTGTTTGGGAACTAGGAGAACTGAGAGGAAAAAGTGGGAACATGTACTGGGGAGAGGTTGCCCAACTTGGGTAAGGGGTTAAACAGTATAGGTAGAATCTGAAGGCAGGAAATTCTGGTCTTAAATTCCATGCTGTGCTTCAAAGTTGGGTTTTGTTTCTAGATCAGTGTTTTATTATGTACATTAGGGTAAATTGCTGGTTCACCCTAGGGGGACAATCATGGATTTTGCAATAAAAAAAGAGCTCTGTAATGTTAAAGAAATTTGGAAAACACTGACTTAAAACTAGTGAAATTATTTTTTGCTATTTTGTTTTCTACTGTCTTGGAGTCTTTAATATGCTCCTGTCTTCCCTGAGCCTCTGGGTGGGTGGGGTAGATGAGCCAGTTGTGGAGACCTCAATCAAGAATTTCTTATTTGGCAGAATGTCTCAAGGAATAATACTCCTCAAGAAATTACCTTTCCAGATAACAATTGCCAATAATGAGCATTAGGAACCAGATGTTTTAAGTAACTTGACATTTCTTTCCAAAGGTTGGATTTGATGCCATTAGAGTGTATAACAAGAGGCTAAAAGCACTGAGGAAAATACAGAAACTCATCAAAAAAGGGCAATTAAGAGCAAGAAAGGTGAGACAACAGCTTTCCCCCCTCTTAAATTTCTTCCTTTCTCAGATGAAAATGAAAGCAAATAATGTAAAATTAAATCCACCCCCTTTGGTACCCAGATGTGTACAAGCAGATGACATACACTTGTCAGAGAACAGCTGAGTTGTTCTTATAGCCAAAAGGGAATGGGAGAAAATAAAATGAAATCAGTAGAAAAAACTCAGGGTTTGAGTTCATAAACATTCATAGCTATCACTTGTATTGTCCCACCAATGTGTCTCTTGGCCAATTCCCCAACCTTCCAGAAATCAAGTTTCCTGGCTCCTCTGCCCTTCCATTTTTCTTCCTAGAGAACATGAAAGTTTGGACAAAGCACATTCATTAAGCATTCATCCCCTCAATGTTTTGCTTATCAAGTGTATAGGACTTTTAAGTAATTTGAAATAAATTGTTTAAAAAATCCCAAATCATTGGCAATTAAGTTGGCAGTATTTTCTTTGTTTAGAATGGCATTATAAGTGATGCTGGTTCATCAAATAATGCTTTTGAGCCTGATGAAGATATTGAAGATCCAGAAGAACTTGATATTCCAACCAAGGAAATAGAGATTCAAGTGGATTGGAATTCTGAGATTCCAGTGAAAGTGAATGTTCCGAAAGTGCCCATCCACAGCCTTGTGCTTGATTGTGCAGCTGTGTCTTTCTTGGATGTTGTTGGAGTGAGATCATTGCGAGTGGTAAGGTTCTAAGTGTTTTTGAACAACAGATTAGGAGCTTTGGCAATAATAAAACCACATGGGTTGCCCATTCTGGCAAAAGGGTGATTGAGTGCATAGGCTCTGCACTATTTCTAGGGGAATGCTTTTGCAATAGACCTTAATATTTTAAAGCACAGGTTATGGAGCCAGACTACATGGGGTTGAATTTAGGCTCTACTATTTGCTGTACTGTGACTATAGGCAACTTGCTTAATTGATCTGTACCTCAATTTCTTTACTCTAATATGAGGATAATAATGGTACCTATTTAATATGGGTTTCATGAAGACTAAATCAGCACATACATGGTTATGGTTTAGAACAGTATCTGGCATACAGTCACCCTTCAGAAAACATTAATATTTATTATGTTTTATTTTTCTGAGAGCATATAGGAAATTGAATATGAAAAGGAGGAAGTTTATGTTAAGTATTATGTTTTTCCTTGTTATGTAAACAGCAGCGGAATGAGGAATATGGAGTACATGGTACGATTAAAAAAGCCAGGCATTATTAAGAGGTTGGCGCAGGTAGCAGGCCAGGCATCTAGGAAGTGAAAGGATTGAGGAGCATGTAGGACAGGAACATTCATGATATCAGACACCAGTTATGTAAGGTTGAGTTCATTCTTTCAGCAACAGACGTGAAGTGCCTAATATATGGCAAGCACTCAGCCAGGTGCAAGAGACAAATGATGAGGTAGTCATAGTCCCTATCCTCATGGGACGAAGCAGTCTAGAGGGAGAGGAAAATGTTAAGTATTCTTTTTGAAATTTATTTTTTAAAGTATGTTTTATTGATTATGCTATTACAGTTGTCCTGTTTTTTCTCCCCTTTATTCCCTTCCACCCTGCACACCCCCTCCCACCAGCATTCTCCCCAGCCTTAGTTCATGTCCATGGGTTGTATATATAAGTTCTTTGGTTTCTCCATTTCATATACTATTTTTAACCTCCTCGTCTATTTTGCACCTACCATGTATACTTATTATTCTCTGTTCACCCCCATGTCCCCTCCCCATCTTCTCTTTCCAGCCCCACTCCGCTGATAACCCTCCATGTGATCTCCATTTTTGTGATTCTATTCCTGTTCTAGTTGTTTGCTTAGTTTGTTTTTGTTTTTAAAGATTATATTTATTTGTTTTTAGAAAGAGGGTAAAGGAGAAAGAGGGAGAGAAGCATTGATGTGTGAGAGAAACAATCAGTTGCTTCTCACATGCCCCCATTTGGGCTGCAACACAGGCATATACCTTGACTGGGAATTGAACCAGTGACCTTTTGGCTGACAAGCCAATGCTCAGTCCACTGAGCCATACCAGCCAGGGCATGATATTTTTTAAGGCTCAGTTGTTGATAGTTGTGTTTGTTGTTATTTTATTGTTCATATTTTTGATCATCTTCTTTTTCTCAGATAAGTCCCTTTAACATTTCATATAATAAGGGCTTAGTGATATGAACTACTTTAACTTGACCTTATCTGGGAAGCACTTTATCTGCCCTTCCATTCTAAATGATAGCTTTGCTAGATAGAGCAACCTTGGATGTAGGTCCTTGCCCTTCATGACTTTGAATACTTCTGTCCAGCCCCTTCTAGAAGCCTGCAAGATTTCTTTTGAGAAACCATGTGACAGTCTTATGGGAATTCCTTTGTGTAGGTAACTGTCTCCTTTTCTCTTGCTGCTTTTAAGATTCTCTCCTTATTTTTAGTCTTGAGTAATGTAATTATGATGTGCCTTAGTATGTGTTTCCTTGGGTCAGCATCTTTGGGACTCTGTGAGCTTCCAAAGAAGCTCCACATCAAAATGGGAACTCCATTTTGCAACCATACTCAACCAATTCTGTGAGCATCCTGATTACCAACTAGTGTTTGGAGCTGTGCATCTTATAGGTTGGCCATCTCTTCATCGCTTAGTTCTATTTCTGGAGTTTAGATTTGTCCTTTCATTTGGGCCATATTTTTCTGTCTTGGTGCAGCTGATACATTGTATGGGGTGGAGCCTTAGGTATTTGCCAGGGTGGGACAACCCACTTTGCTGCACTGTGTTGCTGTATGTGGGGGAAGGGTCAGAGGGAACAATACCACTTGCTCATCTCTCTGCTGCTTTTCAGTCACTTCCTCCATTACCCACAAGCAAATTGAGCCCTTCTGGTGCTGATTCCCGGGTGGGTGGGTTTGTGTACATTCTAGGACCCTGTGGGTCTCTCCAATGCACTGTCCTGTGAGGCTGGGAGTTTCTCCTGCCACCACAACCCCGCAGGTTTTTACACTCAGGGGTTTTGAGGCTTTATTTCCCTATGCTGGAACCCTGGGTTGCGCAGTCTGGCTCACTCCCTAGTTGTTCCTCTTGGTTTATCTGCACGCAAATGTGGGACAGCCAGCTGCTACCTTGCCATGTGTCCTCTCCTCCCTGGCTGCCTGTCTCCACCCCTCCTACCAGCCTAAATGAATGTTTCTTCTTTAACTCCTTGGTTGTTGGACTTCCATACAGTTTGATTTTTCTGGCAGTTCTGGTTTTTTTTTTTGTCTTTATATTTGTCATCCTTTTGATTGTGTGAGTAGGCAGTGTATCTACCTAGGCCTCTGACCTGGCTGGACATTAAGTAATCTTTTAAATAACAACTGTACTAAGTGCTCCAAAGCAGACAAACTGGGGTCTCAACTTGATTAAGAGTGTCAAGTTTAAGTGAAGCTTCCAGTAGGTATCAAGCAAGTTAGGCAGAAAAGTAAGCAGATTAAAGACACCAACAATCAGATACAATAATATGGAACTGACCCGCTACTGAGGTTTAGCTTAGTTGGGGCTTTTTGGCTGCTTTGCAAGGGTAGGAAATCATTACAGAATGCAGGTACTAGGCAGGTACAATAGAAAGTGATTATACTTGACAAAAGACAATGATACAATGGTGGCAGATTCTCTTCCAGTTCTCTTAGCAGACCCAGTCATTAGCTCATTTGAGAGCATTTTCTTATTTTTCATTGTGCATTTTACTCTGGGTATTGGCTCAGATGCGTTGTAGATTGTGTTGGCCAAAGGTTTAGTGAATTACTTTTGGGAAGAGTATTGATATATTTCATGACAGAGTATTTTTCACACTTAACAAATAATTGCTTTCAAATGCTATAATGACAATTGTGAAGAATTCAACCTTTATGCTTGCATAGAGGTCATGATCTTTTCCCCCAGAAATTTCAAGTTCTATTTTATTACTTCCTATAGGTCTTGCATCTTGATTTTTTAAATTAAACTTTTCATTTTGAGATAACTGTAGATTCCCATGAAGTTTTAAGAAATACAGAGAGATCCTCTGTGCCCCTTACCCAGTTTCTCCCAATGCTAAAATCTTGCAAAACTAACATCCAAAATTACAATGAGGATACTAAGACTGATATAGTCAAAATACAGAGTCCTTTGTTTGTAGGTCAGTTTTTACATTCAGGATCTGGTGGCCACATGTCTACAGCTATACATTTTCCATTCACAGATATAAGCTCTGTTGTCTCTGATCTTCAGGGGCTGTATCAGGAAGCTTCCTGTACTCCCTTGTTTTCTTCCTTCCACAAATATTTATTAGGTACCTTTGTGCTATTGAGTGCTGTGCCATCAAGCACTGGATATTGCCACCTCTTGAGATGGGAACATCTTTTCATCCTTAATCATATCATCACTTCAGGTTGAAAACCTTTTTGGTTTTCCAATAATGAACTTTCCTCAACAGTCCCGGTTAAGCATGAAAATACTGAAGTTCCTCCTGAGCAAGTAACTGAATGCTACTAAATTATGTGCAGGTCAAGTTACTCAAATTCTCCTTTTTAAATTTTTAGATTGTCAAAGAATTCCAAAGAATTGATGTAAATGTGTACTTTGCATCGCTTCAAGGTAAATGCATATGTATACATATCTATCTATAAGACTTTTCCCTAAGCCCTTTCTCCTATCTGGGAATATGGATACATCGTGACCAGTGATATTTTTATTGTGATAAAGTGCATAATAATATTTGTTATTTGAGTCACATTCGAGTGGCATTTGAGTCAGTGGCATTAAGTGTATTTACAATGTTGTGCAACCACCACAACTATCTCTCGCCAAAAATTTTCATCACCACACACAGAACTCTACCCATTAAGCAATCCCGCTGAGGGCATTTTTGTACCTAGGGAGATATTACTTCCAGTAGTGCCAGAGAGCTGGTAATGCATGGCAGCTGATCCTGCCAGCAGTGCCAGATCACCATGGGAGAATTGTCTTAGGGAGAGCAGAGCTGGAGATGACTTAGATCCCTTAAAACTAGAGGATCCTCTAGGGTGTGATTCTGTGTCTGTGTGCAAGAGTATGCATGTGGGAAAATACTAATGCTTAGGTCGAGTTCTCTAGAACCAGAGGCTGAGTCAAGGACTCTTGCACAAATGATTTATTGAGACCTGAAAAAAAAACTGGCTTTCAGAAAAACTCATGAAGGAGTGAGGGGAGCAGGATAGGGCTGGGAAGAAGCTGGAGAAAGATAGGGTTGCAAAAGTCTACCTTAGCCTAATTTCACAGGGGCCACACAGCAGGGAAAGCACCAGAAGGTGGTTATTCCTCCTGGAGGCAGCAGAGCATGTCTTCTTACCCCCATATCGGTCCATCAGTGCTGCAGGCCATGCAAGAGTGGGGGTGTCAACCTGTGAGGCCTTTTCAGGTGACACTGTGTTCGTTGGCCCAGGAATGTTCTCCAGAGAAGGCCACAGCTGGAACCGTTAGCAGCCAGACTCACATTAGCAGCTGGAGGATGGGGACTCTAGCAAAGGGACCTGGTCAGGAACCAAGGCCATTTACTACAACCAGTTACCGTATAACCATGACGTGTGCTACTGGAAATGAAACTCAGAGTGCAGCAGGGTCACATTTTGGAAACAAGAAAAGAATTAAAAGGAGGAGCCACTAAACCTTAGTATTGGTTGATGTTACAAAATTATCTTTTCTTAGAAACTAACTAAACACTATTTCTTTCTTTTGAAGATCATGTAATAGAAAGGCTGGAGAAATGTGGTTTCTTTAATGATAACAGAAAGGACATATTTTTTCTGACTGTCCACGATGCTGTCCTCTATGTACAGCACCAGGTTAAATCCCGAGAAATTCAAGATTCCATTTTAGAAACGGTAAACATTTAATCTTTCTACCTATGTGTCTTTCCTGAACTATCATTATTTCTGTAAATGGCAGGAGTTCCACAAATTTAGATTCCATTCTAGTGGGATGTCAAACCAGTGGTTAACTTCTCAGAGACTAAGTTTTCCCATCAGTAAAATGAAAGTGAAAACATTTACCTTGCTGGGTAGATATGAAGACTAAATATGATAGTTTATACAAAAGCACCTGGGACTACCTAGTATTCAATACATAATAGTTCTATCACATGTAGGTTTACTAATAAAAGTAGGCTTTAGTTATACTGCCTTTTTAGAATATAGGCACTGAATCTCAGGTCTTCTGTGGTTTGTATCTACAAATCCAGTTTAAATTCTCAGCAATCTAGAAACTCTTTATTATAAATGTCAAAGGTCATAAGTGATCTTTGAAAAAGAAAAAAATTAAAAGCTATGAATTAGCCAGGACTTAGTTATCCCCCACAAAATAGAACAGAGTCTGATTTCCTGTGGTACCCTTAATTTTGTTAGTTCCCTTGTCAGATGCCTGGGAGTGCTGAGCTTTCTGGTCTGGGTGTGGGCCTGGGCCTACTGGTGGGTCGGGTATAAGAATCTCTTCTCTCATGGACCCTGCACAGAGAATTCAGGAAACCAAAATAATACCTATAAAAATAACAACAATAATTATTCCAGTGACCCAATCTACTCTATTTTAAATTGCTTCTCCCCCAACCCCAAATTAGGATAGATTCTTATTGTGAACTGGAAGTTAATATCTGAAGTAAAACTAATTTTAAAAACAATAGCACATTATTTTTTAAAGCTATTGTTAGTGGAGAGATTGCTCAGTTTAATGCTCTGGGAGAAACATAGGGGTTCTAAATACCAAGATCTGGATCTGAAATACAAAAAAGGAAAAAAAAAAGGAAAGTACTAAAACCACAAATCTATTGGGGAGCGGGGGGAAAGAAAGCTACATGCAAGCAAAATGCTTGTCTTTAAAAACTCATAAAACTTTTTCTAACTTAAAATTCTCTAACCTACAGGTAACAACAAAACAGGATCTTATAAACTATCTTAAAAAGGCCTGTCATTAAAAGTAAAATAGAACCAAAGTGTCAACTTCTTTTTCAACAACTGTGAAAACAGTTATTGTGTTTGTTTATACCTTGCTTTGATCCAAGATCTCAGATCCCACAAACGTCACAAAACCCACTGATGACAGTGCCCCTACCAGCATTAGACCCAACACTGTTTGTAGTCAGGGAGGCATCGTAGTGCTTTGGATGGATTTTTTCACCCTGAACAAATGTCAGACTTGAGTATAACTGAGTGCTTGTACTATATACTTACTGGTTCACTGGATAGTGGGTTGAGCACTAGGGGTAGCCTCTCAGACCAGTAGCCTTAAGCTTCTGCGTACCCTCAGTTATCTAGCACAAAGCCCTGCATACGGTGGGTGTGTAGTAAATGACAATAAATCTTGCCTGTGGCACTTTCCTTTTCTTCAGGAAGGGTAACAAATGTTATGGATGTTGTGGATGCAGTGATGTGACCATCAGAAGGCTATCCCAGGACTGTCCCAATATGTAGTTACGCCTATCCTCTTTCTCTCATTATGTTTGACCATCTGCACAGGGCCTGGCATCTAATTCATTTCCATGCTAGCAAAGAGAATTGGATTATTTATTTGTGAGATGAAAAATAGCTGAAAAGCTCTTTGAAATTTCACTCTTATCTTGATATACATTTGGAGTTGCTTTGGGAATATCCTTTATGCATCAGATAAAGCCCAAACTGTTATTGGTTTCCTCTGTTATTGATTTACTGCTAAAAAGCAGAACTTTCTTAAAAAACCATCTCGGTCCATAGATGTTGATTTCCATCTCTGACAAAATTAATATCCAACCAGTCTAACTTGTGACTGGTTATCGTCATCAGTCACGAGCCCATTCAGTGCATACTTAAACCTGCACTAAGTGATCTTAGTTTAGCCTTTGAAATAAAGACACTTTGACTACTGCATCATTCAGGCAGACAGGGTGACTGCTTAAGAGGCATGCCCTTCAAAGTCTGGGAAAGAGAGTTGAAAAGGAGGTTAGCAATGGAAAACTGTGGCAGTTCACACTTGAATGTGAGAAAAGGGGTATAGGGAAAATTCTAAGTGAGAAATACAAAAGGACAAGAAAGCTGGAACAGATTTTGAAGTGTGTAGATTATTATATGAGAAGCACCAGCAGTGCTTCAAGTAATTTTCAGTGGTTTATCAGGTGGATTGTTGCTATTATATTTTCAGCAAATATTCTCTGTGTTCTCTTTGTCAAGATCTCCCTCATTCAAGACCATAAAGATCCTCTTGAATTAATGGAAGCAGAGCTGACTGAAGAAGAACTGAATGTTGAGGATGAGGTATGAGCATTATTTTTTTTCAAAGAAAATAATTTAGATGAAATCTTGAGTAAATAGAATAATACATGTAGTAACTATGTCTGATACAAACTATTCAGAAAAAAATAATTTTAAAAAATACCCAAAGGATGGTGTAATAGAATGAGGAAAATGGAAAACAAGAATTCCCTCTTGAAGACAATAAGAGCTTGGGAACCTTCTGGTCCAGGCTCACAGGATGATCCTCGACCAGAAGCAGCCAACACTCTGGTCCTGGTTTTTGGTCTAAGCCTCTGTGTACTTTTTTTTCTAGAGACCTAAGAAACAGAGGAAAGATGATTAGAGGAAATTTCTAATCCAGAAGTTTCATAAGCTTCAGAAACAGTCTGTGCAACAGGAACCTCATGACTTTCTTCACCTGACTGATAATGGCTTAGAAAAGACTGATTTTATGTATTTCTGATGTTCTTGGGGGCATGAGTCAATTCTGAGGAAACTTGACTGAAACTTCTAGTAATCTGGATAAACTTTGTGGCTCCACCATAGAGTAAAATGAGACTAACAAAAGAAGATTGCAGAATTTTAAAGTTGAAAGATGTCTGAGAAATCAGGTAGTCCCACACCTTAGCCCATGCAGAAATCCCTCCTACACCATGTCTAAGGATGTTCACTCAGGTTTTGTGTGGATGTTTCCACACATTGGCAGCTAGAAGCTTTTCCAGGGAGCTTGTTGCATGCTTGAAAGTGTCCAAGTGTTACTTGTGCTTACAAAATTAGATTTGGCCTTTCTCTAGTACCTGGTAACTGAGCTCTCTCTTTTCTAGCAATACAAGCCCTCCACTAAACAGTCCTTAAATATTTGAAAGTATCTCCCAGGTCTCCACCAAACTCTACTCCAGGTGGGACTCCTCCCTTTATCATTCTTGCAGAAACTAAATTTGTCAATGTTCCTTTGCCAAAGAAGGGGACGCAAAGCCTTAGACAGAGTCAGGCCAGCATGAAGATTACACAACCGTGACCTACCTTGATCTCATAAAGATATTTCTATGACTATGACTTAAAAATGTGTTTACAGTAGCTACATCAAAATCTATGCTTCTATTACAGGGGTCAGCTAAGAGACTTGGGCATTTTTACACAACTTGTCATCCAGCTGGGTTCTCCATTTATATTTATGTAATTGATTTTTGACCTCTAGTGCAGGACCACACATTTATGATAAATTACCTCTTGTTTGCTCCCATTGATATCCTTTTGAATTCTGAATCTATCATCCAGAATAATAATTATGTACCCCCATTGGTATCATATGCAAATCTGATAAGCATGCCTTCTCTGCCTTATTCCAGGTCCTGATAAAAATGTTGAAAAGCATATATTCAAAGCCCTGTGGTAAAATCAGATAGTGAGGATGACAGGAAAGAAGACTTTTGTGGAGGAAATACAGTACTAGGGTGAAATCTGAGGTTCTGCATCTTAGCCCATCAGCTTAGTGAGCCCAGAAACATCATCACTGAGCTGTGTAGTACTTTATGACTATGGATATCGGGCCAACTCAGTTGAGTACAAATTCATACATCAAAATTGGGACCTAAGAAACTGCCATTATATTGAAGTATTTTTGATTGCTACATAAAAAGATTATTCAGGTACGATTCCTGTAGATAATGAGGCAGTATAGCAGTATAATTTTAAGGGCATGGACTTTAGAACTGGATGGATTTGAGTACAAACCATGATTCTGCTACTTAATGGCTGTGCAGCCCAGGGAAAATTATTTATCCTGTCTTCATGTAAAATAAAGATAACAGTACTTCAAAGAGTTGTGAAAATTAAAGGATGGATAGTAAGTACTCAATAAATAGTAATAACCATTTTTAAATAAATCAAATGAAAATATGATGAGTTACAGTGAACTTCCAGTCAAGCAGGAGGTACAGGTAGATACACATTGCTTCCTTGCAAAAACCAAAAGAACAACAACAAATTTAAAGACAAAAGACAACCAAAACTGCCAGAAAATTGAACTGTATAGAAGTCTGACAACCAAGGAGTTAAAGAAGAAATAGTCATTCAGGCCGGTAGGATGGGTGGAGATAGGCACCCAGGGTGGAAAGAACACGCAGCAAGGCGACGAACCAGGCAGTCCCACATTTGCGGGCCGATAAGCTGAGAGGAACAACTGGGAAGCAAGGCAGATAACACAACCAAGGGTTCCAGCATGGGAAACTAAAGCCTCAAAACCTCTGGTTGTAAAAATCTGTGGGGGTTTGGCAGCGGGAGAAACTCCCAGTCTCAGAGAAGAGTTTGGTGGAGAGATCCACAGGGTCCTAGAATGTACAAAGATCTACCCACCCAGGAATCAGCACCAGAAGGACCCAATTTGCTTGTGGGTAGTGGGGGAAGTGACTGAAAGCCAGCTGAGAGCCAAGCAAGTGACACGTTCCCTCTCAGACCCCTCCCCCACATACAGCTGCTCCAGCAGTGAAGTGGGTTGCCCCGCCCTGGTGAATACCTAAGGCTCTGCCCCTTAACAGGTGTGCTGAGATAAAAATGAAAGAACAAATGAAAGCACAGATCAAAGCTCCAAAAATAAAACTAACCCAAGGAGACAGACAACTTATCAGATGCAGAGTTCAAAACACTGGTAATCAGGATGCTCACAGAAATAGCTGAGTCTGGTCACAAAATGGAGGAAGAAGTGAAGGCTATGCAAAGTGAAACAAAGCAAAATATACAGGGAACCAATGGTGAAGGGAAGGAAACCGGGACTCAGATCAATGATTTGGAACAAAACAAATAAACATTCAACTGGAACAGAATGAAGAAACAAGAATTCAAAAAAATGAGGAGAGGCTTAGGAACTTTCGGGACAACTTTAACTGTTCCAACATCTGGATCATAGGGGTGCCAGAAGGAGAAAAGGAAGAGCAAGAAATTGGAAACTTATTTGAAAAAATAATGGAGAACTTCCCTAATCTGGCAAAGGAAATAGACTTCCAAAAAGTCCAGGAAGCTCAGAGTCCCAAAGAAGTTGGACCCAAGGAAGCACACACCAAGGCACATCATAATTAAATTGCCCAAGATTAAAGACAAGGAGAGAATCTTAAAAGCAACAAGGGAAAATAAGATAATTATCTACAAAGGAGTTTCCATAAGACTATTAGCTGATTTCTGAAAAGAAGCCTTACAGGAAAAAGGGGCTAGAATGAAGTATTAGAAATCATGAAAGGCAAGGATCTACATTTAAGATTACTCTATCCAGCAAAGCTATCATTTAGAAAGGAAGGGCAGATAAAGTGCTTCCCAGATAAGGTCAAGTTAAAAGACTTCATCATTACCAAGTCCTTATTATGTGAAATGTTAAAGGGACTTATCTGAGAAAAAGAAGATGATAAAAAATATAAACAGTAAAATGACAACAAACTCACAACTATCAACAACTGATACAAACAAAAACTAACTAAGCAAACAACTAGAACAGGAACACAATAATAGAAATGGAGATCACATGAAGGGTTATCAGCAGGGAGGGGGTGATGGGAGGATAAGGGAAAAGGTACAGGGAATAAGAAGCATAATTGGTAGGTACAAAATAGGGGAATGTTAAGAATAGTATGGGAAATGGAGAAGCCAAAGAACTTATGTATGACCCATGGACATGAACAATGGTGAGGGGGATGATGGTGAGAGGGGGGTGCACAGCCAAGGGGGATAAAGGGGAGAAAAAAATGGGACAACTGTAATAGCATGTTCAATAAAATATAACAATAAAGTATGATGAGTTACAAAATTTTTACTCACCATAATAAATTATGACAATATATACCTGAGATGGTTCAATGTAAGCAATATGTGTAAAAGACTTAAGAATTCACTTTGTTTCCTCTTTGTTCCCACAGGCTATGCGTAGACTTGCTACGTGAAAGTGGGCTCGGGAGGTTGCTATAAGCAAGGACTACAGGATTGCCAAATTTAACCAGCAATGTAATTCTATGCAAGCATTTTCTGCATTGACTGTTTCTCTGGACTTGAAACACTCATTCTTTTTCTGTTAGAACTTTGATTTTTTTAACGTCTTAGCCATTAAAAGAAAGGCACTTAAGATTGTTTCTAGGCTTTATTTATAAAATAAATAGCTTACTTCTAAACTGCAAAATGGTGAGAATTATCCTGGTGATCTAGTGATGTCTAGGATCTATTCACGTTGTGCTGCTGTACCTCCCTGACATATTTGCCAACAAAGTTCACATGGGCATGGGGTCCCCTGCTCAGTCAGGGCAGGTGTGGCCCCATAGCCTCTGTGGCCAGTTGAGTCATGAATGATTATCATAAAAAAGATCTATTTTTGACTGGCCTGGATACCCATGGGCTGTGCCGATCACAGTGTAAGGGCACACTGAGTAAATGCTGAAATATAATTGTTAATGCATTTATCAATAAAAGCCTTCAAAAATCACTTTTGGTCAATACATCAAAAATGTTTTTTAAATGCAAATTTGGTTAATACTTAATAATGAATGTTATATTGACCATATACTTAACAAGAATTCAGAATCAAGATGGTTCACTTCTAAACTACAGAACTAGGCTGATATATTTTTAAAACATTGAGTTAGAGAGATGAAGCAATAATATTATTATGGTTTATAAATTCATTTTTTGATATAACCATGGATCACAATTAAGATCAAATAAAAATATAAGAAAGACTATCTCTAGGTTAAAATGCCATTTTAACTTAGTTTATAGAAATAATCATTAGGTAGAGTATGTAGCAGTATGGTCTATTTAAAATCTAACACAAAAATTGTGTGATTTTGAACAAAAAACAATTCTGATATGTTTATAAGACTGTGGTGATTAAAACAAGTTTATGTTTTTCTCTAAAATGTAGCAGTATATAAAATAAATGATATTTAACTAAATTCTGACCATCTTTCAAAAAAATCTAAAAAGTTTTCAACCTGGATATAAATATATGTTTAAGATGAGTTTAAGACAAAACATTCTATGACTGAATAGCAACAATAAAAAAATGGATTGGAATATAAACATTGAAAACATATAGGTTTTTAAAAATCTATATTTTAAGGGAGAACATGTTTGAAATTTTTAGTTTTACTTAATCTTTTCTGACCATCAACAATTTTGTAGGTATTATATATAATACAGAGGCTACGGCCCTGTGGACTATTCCCATATAATTCACACTTGAGTGAATGAACTTGTGCTTTATTTCTAGAGAAAAATAAACACGTGGATCCCCAACTAAGATAATGTCTTGTGTGGCTGAGATAATTATGTTACACCTTTGGCACAATTGTGTGAAATTCCCAAATGTGTTTGGTTATCCAAAGGCAGCATGTCCTGTCTCTGTTTCTAATTAAATACAATGAGAAACAAGATGTCTAATCCTGAAGGAATATCATCAGTGATAATATCAAATTGGTAACTAAAAGAATCATTATCACCACCCCCTCATTTTGCCCATTGGAATTTGAGTGAGTTGTAATGGACTGTGATTTTACAATAATATTCTTTCTTCTAATGGATTATTCTGTCTTTAACTGATTTAGAACAGATTTCTCCCTGTGTTGGGTACAGTATAACTGGGGTTATAAGATTATCTCATTTTCACAGCTTATACCTGCTTATACTGGTAACAAATCGTATTGATAAAGAGTAAGTACAGTAGTCTTGCAGAAAATGGATGAATACCTCTGTTCAATAAAGGAAATATGCACTGATTATTTTTTTATTAGTTGAAGGAAAGTTACCCTTTATAATAAGGCTAGAATTTTGTGAAATCCTGGTTCCATTTGTGACTATATAAGACCAGTCTATTTGGCTAGTTTCTCAAACACACTCTAGGAATACTGGCTCTTCTATACATTTTTGAATAATAAGCACATTTTAATCCTGTATTGCCAATGAAAATTTACTTGAAATTAAAATTGCCTCATGTTATGTTTTAACCTATATAAGATTCCAATGTTGTGACTTTCAATAAATAAAAATATCAAATCATGTACATTTGGAAATAATTGCAAATATATTTTATTAAATGTAAAGTTACCTTTTAAACTACTCTGTTGTGTCCTCTCTGAGTAAAACTATTAATTATAATTAAAAATGCTACATTTTAAGTTTGCCATTACTCTTATCACTCGTCAGTTTGATGTATTTTTTTAAAGTTCTACTTCCATTTTGTGTGTGTGCAATTACTTTTTGTAAAAACTTGGTACAATAAACAATGTTACAAATATCTCAGTTAAATTTTGTAATTTTTATGCAAATATTTCTAGCTTATTGTGTGGGATGATTTTCATTTAAGGAAACTTTTTGTGCTGGTACAACAGATGTATTAAAAAGATACAAAGCATAGTTTTCTCCTTGAAGAATTTTCACAAAACAAACACACCAGTATTAAAGAGCACTCACACTAATAAGCAGAGCATAACCAGCATCCCAGAAGCCCTCAGCTAATTACTGTCCTGACTTCCAACACTTGTTTTTTGACAAGTTGTTTTTGACAACTTCATATAAATGATATCAAACAAGATTATTTCTTTTTTTCCCTTCTCTTTTGTCTTTTTCTTTTAATCCTCACCTAAGGATATATTCATTGATGAGTGGGAGAGGGAGGGATGGTGGGAGGGAGATAGAGAGAGAAGCAGAGAGAAACATTAATGTGAGAAAGAAACATTGATTGGTTGCCTCCTCTACATGCCTTGAGCAGGGATCACGCTTGTAACACAGGTGTGCACCCTGACCAGGGATCGAACCAGCAACCTTTTGGTGTATGAGATGATGCTCCAACCAACTGAGCCACCTGGCCAGGGCTTGTATATGTGTCTCTTTTTTAAGTCAACATCACAATTGTGATATTCATCCATGTTAATGTTATTGCATAAAACAATCATTTAAAAATTTTCACTGCTGTGTAGTATTCCACTACCTGAATTTACCATCACTTATTTACCTATACTAACTGTCGGTGGATGTTTGTGTTGTTTCTAGTTATTGCCTTTCATGAATAATGCTGCTATGGACATTCTTGTTCATTTTATTTTTGGTGAATATAGGTACACAATTCTGTAAAGTATATACCTAGGAATGGAGTTGCTGGGGTCATGTACATGGGTTCTGCTTCTGTAGATACTGCAGTACACATCTAGTACCCCCTGCAGACTTTTATCCAAAGTGATCACACCAATTTACGCTTTTTCTTTTTAATGTGAGCTCCTGTCACTGCACATTTTTGCCAGCACTGGGTCTGTATGTCTTTCTCATTTGAGCTTTTCTTGTGGGTGTGTAGCAGTATTTAACTTGCATGTCTCTGATGACTAAAGAAGTTAAACACCTTCTCGGGTGTTTATTATCATTTAAATCCTTGTGTGAATCCTCTTCCCAAGTCATTTGCCTATTTTTCTTATTGGTTGTCTGCCATTTTCTAATTGCCATGTAAAGGTTTATATAGTAAGGACACAAAAATCTTTGTTGAAAATACGTATTGTAAATATTCTATGGATTGCTTTTTCACCCTTTTATTTATGTCTTTTGATGAACATAAGTTCTTAATTTTAATGTAACAGAATTTATCATTTTTCCCTGAAGGGTTAGCATCTTTTTTTTTTAATTTTGGTATCTAGTTTGTTTTTTTTTAAAGCTTTGTTTTACCTCTCCCATTTAGATATACAAGATATCTAGAGTTAATTTTTGTGTGTGCTGTGAGGCAAGGAGTGAAGATACATATAATTTTTTTTCAGAAAGACTTACCCTATTAACCCAGCACCTTTTGATAAATGCACAGTTCTTCTTCAATGCAGTGTCACTTTCAACTGACTGCAAAGGTTTGAGTCTGTTTCTGGGCTCTGCTCTGTTTCCTTGGTCTATTCTTCTGGCCTTGTACCAACACTGTAACTGTCTTGATGAGTACAGGTTTTTAGTAGCTACAGATATTTGGAAGTATAATTACTCCAGTTTGTTCTTTTCTCACTACATTTATGCTTAGCCATCTTCATTTCCATATACATTTTAAAATAGCCTATTAATTATTGACAAATATTATTCCTAATATATTTTCTAGAATTAGCAAACATTTTCATTCAACCAATAACTCTCAAAAAATTAAACAATGCTTTACATTAAATGAAATATATGTTGAAAACCACATGAATTAATTATGGTTATATTTTATTAGATGATATAAAATACAAAAACAATTTGAGTTTTGTATTTGTTTTAAGCTAGAAATACAAATTTCAACTCATGTGCTTTACAAACTTACACAGTAGACTCCTGGGTTTAAGTCAAGTGTCTAATTGGATTTGAGATGTGTCCGGGCACTGCCACTGACAGGGAAGGCTAAAAAGAAGTCTGTTTAATGACTGAGGAGCCTCCTGGGAGAGAGACAATTCATTCTAAAGCAAGAAAGGTCAGACTAAAGAGCTGAGCCAGTAGCAGGGCTTAGTTGTTAGTGCATAACTGAGTTTGGGAGTAACACAGGGCCTGTCAATCTGGGATATGTTCTAGAGCCAGATTCATAAACTCATGCTTGGGTTCTATGAAGAAAGGAAGTTGCAATTCAAAGGAGCTGCTTTACTGTGAGATCTCTATAAGACGATGGGGCACATGCAATGCTCTGGGCAACCACTATAACAATGTGACTGCCAAGTTAAAGGAAGACATGCTGCCCTGGTCTCCCGGCACATCTATAGCTCTGGACACCTCAAGTCTTAACGATGGTGCTCTGCAACAGTGCATGGAGGAGAGCAGCCCTTGGTAGAATGGACTTGCTCATGAATACATGAGAGGCACTTTTTGGAACTTTCAGAAACATTTGAGGAGTTGTCTATCTAGGACTTAGACCTATGTGAACAGATGAGGTGAGAGTCTATAAAGCATCCATTATGCAAACAATATAACAATGTAACAAAGGCCATATTAGCTTTAATCATATAAACTTCCATGTCATTAAAAAAGCCATAAAATGACAAATAGAGAGAGAAAAATGAAAATAATGAGGAGGGCTAAGCGGGGAAAGGAGACAGACAAAAAATGAAACAGTGAAAACACTGATGGCATTAGGGAAGGAAAACAAATAAAAAGGGGGAGTTTATTGAAGAAACAGAAAAAAGGAAAGCTAAAATAAACAGTAAAGAGAGAAAAGCTTCATGAAAAACTGTGGTGGGTGCTGATGTGATATGATTTCTGCCCAGTGCTCTGAAAGTCAAAGTGAAGAAATTCAATGAAGCAGGGGTAAAAGGCAGGAGTAACTATGACTCTCTTAAGGTAGTCAAATGCCTTGTCATCTAATTAGTGATGTGTATGAAAGGATGAACAAGATTCCCACTGCTGTTAACCCACAAAACCACAGACAAGGCAACAGGTTTGAAAGATCAGCAGGGAAAGAAGACCCTGTTGAACTTGACTTTAGTCTGGCATGGTGAAAAGACTTTAGATGTATAGAAAGAGGGAGGCCCTAGGCACCCTCCCCTCCCCTGGAGGAGTTGGGGTGAGGCCCACCAGCCTTGCAATCTATAGATTCAATGCAATTCCTATCAAAATACCAATGATGTATTTCACAGAACTAGATAAAATATCTCAGAAATTTATATGGCACCACAAAAGGCCCCAAATAGCAACAGCAATCCTGAGGAAGAAGAACAAAGTTGGAAGAATCACACTACCTAATATCAAACTATACTACAATAGAAGGCCATAGTAATCAAAACAGCATGATACTGGCATTAAGAACAGACACATAGATCAATGGAACAGAATAGAGAGTCCAGAAATAAACTCACACCTGTATAATCAATTAATATTTGACAGCAGAAGCACACACATACAATGGGCTAAAGATAGTTTATTCAATAAATGGTATTGGGAAAATTAGACTGAAAAATGAAAATAGACCACCTTCTTACTCCACACACAAAAATAAATTCAAAGTGGATTAAAGACTGTCATGTTAGACCCAAACCCATAAAATTCTGAGAAGAAAACATAGGCAGTAAAATCTTGGACATTGCTCACAGCAATATTTTCTCTGATATATCTCCTCTGGCAAGGGAAACAGAAGGGAAAAAACACAAATGAAACTATGTCAAACAAAAAGTTTTGACACAGCAAAGGAAATCAGCAACAAAATGAAAAGACAACCCACTGAATGGGAGAACATGTTCACTGATACATTTGATAAGGGGTTAATAGCCAAAATTTATAAAGAACTTATAAAACTCAACACCAAAGAAGCAAAAAATCCAATTAAAAATTAGCAAAGGACCTGAACAGACACTTCTCCAAAGAGAACATACAGATGGCCAATAGACATATGAAAAGATGCTCAACGTCATTAATTATCAGGGAAATTTGAATTAAAACCACAATGAGATATCACCTCATACTGGCTATCGTCAATAAATCAACAAATAACAAGTGCTGGTGAGGATGTGGAGAAAGAGGAACCCTTTTGCACTGTTGGTGGGAATGAAGATTGTGCAGCCACTGTGGAAAGCAGTATGGAGATACCTCAAAAAATTAAAACTGGAGCTGCCTTATGACCCAGCAATCCCACTTCTGGAAAATTCATCCAAAGAAACTTGAAACACTAACTCCAAAGAACATAAGCACGCTAGTTCATTGTAGCATTATTTACAATGTCCAAGATATGAACACAACCCAAGTGTCCATCAGTAGATGAGGGGATAAAACAACTGTGGGATATTTACACAATGAGATACTACTTGGCGATAAAAAAGAAGAAAATTTTACCCTTGTTGACAGCCTGGAGATGGGTGGGCCTGGAGAACATTATGCTAGTGAAATAAGCCAGTCAGAGAGAGACAAATTGTCAGAGAAAAACAATATGATTTCACTCATATGTAGAATTTAATGAACAAACTGAACTAACAGCGGAATAGAGACAGACTTATAGATGGAAAGCAGGCTGACAGCTCTGGGTTGGCAGTAGGGGTTAGGGCATGGAGGGATTGAGTAAAAAGGAAAAACGGCTCATGGACATGGGCAACAGTGTGATAATTGTTGGGGGGCAGTGGTATAAGGGATAAATGGTAATGGAAAAAATACAATAAAATATATTAAAAAATTAAAAACTAAAAGAAGAAGAAATCAGGAAGACATAGAAAGAGACTTTGGTAATGGGCAAAGGAAAGTCAAATGGAGGATTAATTTCAATACAATCGTGTCATTTAAGAACTCAGAGAATTTAGCAACACTCCTTCCACATACAACTCTACCT